TACCTTTGTCCTTTCTTTCTAAGTTGCAAGGGCACTTCTTTTGACTGTCTATTGTTCCCACTTTTTCTAATATTATGTCTTTAAATAAAATTTTTTTATTAAAAAAAAAATGCATGACCCAGCTGAGTCATTCAGCTGATTGCAGCATCACTCCATATACCAAAATGTTGCGAGTTTGATTGCTGGTCAGGAAACTTACTTAGGTTATAGGTCCTATACCCTTCAAAATGCATGTGGGAGGAAGCCCATTGATATTTCTCTATCACATCAATGTTTCTCTCTCTTTTCCTCTGTCTCTATAATCAATAAGTATATCCATGAATGATTATTTTTAAAAAATGCATCCCAAAGCACTCCTACAAATTCCTGGCTGCATCTTAGCATAACCTGGAGCACCTCAATAAACAATGATGCTCCACCCAGAGCAGTTGTACAGCTCTGTGGATGGCATAGCTGATGTCATTTCTCAAACTTCTCAAGTGATGTTTCCACATGTTGATGTTTCCCTCTCTTTCTCCCTCTCCCTTCCCATCTAAAAATAAATAAAATCTTTAAAAATAAAAAAGCAATATAAAATAATGCAAGATACGATACTGAAAACTTTAAAAAATATTTCCTATGATAATGTTAAATTACACAATCAATACATGTGCTTTCTGGGAACCATGTTTCAGGTCAATCCAATATTTCTGTCAGTATTTTCAGAGAATGGACAAGAGGGACTTGAGGGGAACAGCTCCTTTGTGACTCAGTCAATAATTCAACAAATCACATAATGAGAAGGAAAGAGTTGGGGAACGTTGGAGAAACTCATGAAACTACGTTCTGACTGTAGTAAGATTATACACACCCTTACCCATTGCACAGTGAAATAACCTGGTATTATTTACTAAGTACCAATGGACATTCCAACGTATGAGAAAGGGTAGAAAGGATGCAGGACTCAGAATTTAAACTACACACAACATAGTCAAAAGGAAAACTATCTGGAATTATTTTTTAAGGTAATGACTTCTAAGGTTAAAGTTTTGCCCTGACTGGTGTTTTTCAGTGGGTTTAGCATCCTTTTGCAAACTGAAAGGTAACTGGTTTGATTCCCAGTCAGGACACATGCCTGGGTTGTGGGATGCGTCCCCAGTTGGGGGTGTGCAAGAGGCTGATGATTGATGTTTCTCTCACAAATTGATGTTTCTCTCCCTCTCCTTCTCCCTCCCTTTCCCTCTCTTGAAAAGAAGTAAATTTAAAAAAAAAAACATAACACCAATGCTTATTTTAAAAGTTAATAACTATTTACAGAAAAGATATCCAACAGAATAAGATTTATCTCAATACGTTTTTTAAAGATAAATTCAATGTGAGAGGTAGTAGGAAAAAAGCATCATGTGAGAGCAAATAATTATAAAATTCACAAGTCCTATAAAGTGGGGATTTGTAATTCCAATTCAAATTAAGTGAAAAAAATTAGCAAATGTTAAACCACAAGCTGATTATCTCACAACTTAATCATCCACATCCAGGTTCCCATTCTTCCTGGTACTATATTTCTGCGTATGGATCTGTTTGTCTCTTCCCTGTTTCTCTGCACTTTTATCCTTTCCTGTGTTTCCCCTCCAACCTCCTCTGCTCTTTCTTCCCTTTTCTCTATTGCTGTACCTACACGAGTTTCATGAAACAACTGAAAACTATTTCAGTTGCACTTTCTCCCAATCTTTCTGATTGCTCCCATCTGCCTTCCACTATCCCCTGCACGCCGGTGTCCCCTCTGCTGCTCCAGTTACAGTCTTTCCTGTCACCCCCCCACCCTCAAACAGGCTGACTCAGTGCCGTTTCTCAGTCTTAATCCGTCATGCCCAAACCCCCTTTCCGTCCTTGCTCTCGCTCCCTAACTCGTCCCCTCAGAACCACTCCCTCTGCCAGAAGAGCCTCGCTCTTTGCTGCCCCTACGTCTGCTCACAGGCCCTTCTCCCTGTCAGCTCCCCTAGTCTCTCTGGGGCTCCCCCCCACCCCGCCCCATCCTCGGCATTTCTCCCCGGTCTTCCTCCTCCGGCTACTTTCCCCACCTACCCTTTCACTCCTATGTCCCTCCCACCTCCCCTGCGTTGCTGTCTCCTACTGTCCCTCATCCGCCTTTTCTTCTCCTCAAGTGTCCGTCTCTCCTATTGCGCCTCCCGGATCCCCGTCACAGCCTCATTCCGCCGCTTTCCCAGCCGCCCCTTCGCCCTCACCGCTTCCACAAAGCCCCTCCCCGCATGGGGCTGATCACTTCTCCTCGGAACAACGTGATTTCCCCACCTAAGACCCACTCTAGGAAAGTGTGCTCTTACTGGAATTCAGGCCGCTTATTAAATGGGGGACGTGGAGGTCTCAGGTGGGACGGACTGCAGACCCCCCCCAGTCGGGGTGCAATCAGCAGAGACAACAAGCCGTGGGGAAGGGTACAAAAGAATGCAGAGCATCCACGCCTCAGGGTCTCACAGGGAACCCCGACTCACCGCTATAGGAAGCTCGGAAAGGGATTTCACCGTTTGTAGTGATCCTCAGCCTTTCCCTGCCTAGGAATGAGAACTTGGAAAATTAACCTTCAACTAGGAAAACCCAAAGCAGGAAGAATGGCCTGACCTTTTGTTTCTCCAGTCGGTTCCTGGTCCGTAAGAGACTGCGCATGCTCCTCACTCAAAACTCTGATGGGTGGGTCAGAGCCTCAGCTGAGCGCTTCCGCAGAGTACTGGCGGAGGGGATAGAGGCCGGGCTTGAAAAGGGCCAGGCCAGTGAAAAGATGAATCGGGGACGGGGGCAGACTTAGTGGCGTGGCCTGGGCTCCATTCCACCTTGATCCCCTACGTTATAAACAATCCTTGGTCATTCATTTATCCACATAATTATTCCTAAAATTTGAGCGAGTTCTTTTCAAAAATAAGTATTTTGGTGATACTACAATGATTAAATTTTCGCTAAGATCTTTACCACACAATGTAACCTTCCCTCTGGACTCTCACCTTCCGCAATCTATACAAAAGGGCGCTGGGAGGGGAAAGGGGGCGTTCTGGGGAGGAGTCTGGGCAGATTCTCTCTGACTGGGCACGGGACCTGACTGGGATCCAGGTAGGCTCAGTGACAATTAGAAAGTGAATGAGTGCCACCTTGTGGAACTGCCTGGGAAGAGGCCTGAATTCCATGGGCTCTGCCTCCAAAGATTCTTTTCCAGCTTTAAAAATGCTGTTATGAAACCAGAAAAGTTGATGTTTGTGCTGCTTGCCACCACTAGACTCAGCAAGTACAGACAGAAGTTGACTCTGTATGGGAGGCTTTATTTAGATTGCCAACGATCTGAGAAAACTTCAGGTTATGTACCCTGAGATAATGTCTTACATTTCATTCCAGGCCTGCCCTTTTTATAAGAACGGGAAAAGTGTAGTTAATGAGTTCGGTATGCAGGGGAATAGTTAAGCACATAAAAGCTGCAGCATTCTTTTATCTGTGACTTGGGCGATGGTTTTCATCTGTTTTGTCAGTGGGTGTCTCACCCTGGAATACAATGGCTGAGACACCATCTTGATTGCCTGTGGTCCTCCAGAGGCACAACCGTGGAACTGCTTCGCCTGGAGCGAAGTTGGGTCATGCCTTCAGTTCCTGAAACAACAGTTTTTTACAAACATTGATTGCAAAGCTTATTAGCCATTACCTGAAACTAAAATTTTTCCAACATTTGAGTCTCCCATCATTCCCCCACTGTTAGTTTAAACTATCTTATTTCTATGAGATCCATTTCATATGCAAATACTCATTTTGTTATAGGCACGTATCTTGTCATTAGACCATCTGGTAGAGGGTTTAGGAATACATTTAATTGCAGATCCACATAAGGGAGCACATTGTATGCAACAACAAGCTATGATAAAGCACAAAACATTTTTTAGCACAGTTGACAAAAGTTGCACTCTAGCTGGGGCAACATTAAGGACTTTTTTTCCCCAAATTATAAGACAATGTTTATTTAGAATGTTACAGAGGTAGGCTGAAAGAAGTATTCAAAGTCATGAAAAGCAAGGACCTACAACCTAGATTATCCAGCAAAGCTATCATTTAGAATAGGGAGACAGCTCTGGCTGGTGTGGCTCAGTGGACTGACTGCCAGCCTGCGAACCAGAGGGTTGCTGGTTTGATTCCCAGCCAGGACACATTGCTGGGTTTCAGGCCAGGTTCCCAGTTGGGGATGCACAAAAGTCAACCACACATTGGTATTTCTTTCCCTCTCTTTCTCACTCCATTCCCCCTCTCTAAAAAACAAACAAATAAATAAATAAATAAATAATATATTTTTTAAAAAGAATAGAAAGGCAGATAAAGTGCTTCACAGAGAAGGTCAAGTTAAAGGAGTTCATCATCACCAAGCCCTTATTATATGAAATGTTACAGGGACTTATCCAAGAAAAAGGAGATCAAAACTATGAACAGTAAAATGACAACAAACACAACTATGAACAACTGAACCTAAAACAAAAACAAGTTAAACAAACAACTAGCAGAGGAACAGAATCACAGAAATGTAGTTCACATGGAGGGTTATCAGTAGGGAGGGGGTGAGGAAAGGATGGGGAAAACAGGTAAAGGGAATAGGAAGCATAAATAGTAAGTACAAAATAGACAGGGGAAGGTTAAGAATAGTATAGGAAATGGAGAAACCAAAGAACTTATCTGTATGACCCTTGGAACAAAGCAGGGTGGGGGGATACTGGAGGGAAGGAGGTATAGGTCTGAGAAGGATGAAACAAATGGGACAAACATAATAGCATAATCAAAAAAATATACTTAAGCCCTGGATGGTGAGGCTCAGTGGATTGAGTGTCAGCCTGTGAAGCAAGTGGTTGCTGGTTCCATTCCCAGTCAGAGCACATGCCTAGGTTGCAGGCCAGGTCCCCAGTAGGGGGTACGCAAAAGGTAAATACACAGTGATGTTTCTCTCCCTCTCTTCCCCTCTAAAAAGGAATATATAAAATCTTTTCTGGTGCACCATTCTCAAAAGCACTGCAATACAAGTCAATGTGCGGAGTGGACAGAGCTAGCTCCTATTCCATCTCCCAGCTCCAAAAATCCATTTAATATAATGTTCTCAGATAGACAATATATCAGATATTAAACTGATGAGAACAGATACATTTGATCTTAGCCAAAAGGCTGAGAAGCCATAAATGACTAAAGAAAATATTTATATACATATATACACACACACTTAAAGCTATTGTTTCAGGAACTAACAATATGACCCACCTGGAGTCCTGGACTACAAGCAATTTGATCTCAGTGCCCCAGGAGGACTGCAAGCAATCAAGATGGTATCTGAGCCCAGAGAGCGAGACCTTGCTGCACAGAACATAGATAAAAAAGCCACCTGTCAATAAGTAAAAGGATGCTAGAGAGATTGCTGCACTGCAGCTTTTATCTCATCAACATTTTCCATTAATCACAAACCATTTATCTACATTCCTCCCCCCACCCCATTTCAAACACCTTACCTACACTTTTTCTCTCCTTATAACAAAGGCTGACTTAAAATGAAATGTAAGACAGTCTGTTAGAATACATAACCCACCATCTTCTCAGATCTCCAGCCATCTGCATAAAACCACTATAAAGATTCAATCTTTGTCTCTACTTCTTGGTTTTGGTGGTGACAGGCAAAATGAATGCCAACTTTTCTGATTTCGATAGCAGCATTTTTTTAAGCAACACTTTTTTAAAAAATCTTATTTATTTTTAGAGACATGGTAAGGAAGGGAGAAAGAGAGGGAGAGAAACATCAATGTGTGGTTGCCTCTCCCAAGCTCCCAACCTGGGACCTGACCTGCAACCCAGGCATATGCCCTAAGTGAGAACTGAAACAGGAACCCTTTGATTCACAAGCTAGTGCTCAATCCACTGAGCCACACCAGCCAGGGCTCAACAGCAACATTTTTAAAGGTGAAAAAGATACTTTGGAAGCAAAGCTTCTAGAAATTCAGGACTCTACCCAGCAGGTCTATACATGGCACTCATTCACTTCTTAATTGTCACTGCACTTGCCTGGCCTTTTGTCAGGTGCTGCCTCCAGTCCCTAGAACTGTGTTCAGACTCAGTCCCCAGAACCTGCCTTCTTCCCTACCACAGCCATTTTATAGACTCAGGAAGGCGACACTCCAGGGGAAAGGTTGCAAGGGGTGGAAAAGATCTTAGGCAAAATGTAATCTTTGGGGGGTCACCAAAATAGTAATTTTGAAAAGAAATGTTACAAATTTTAGCAATAATTATGTGGATAAAGGAAAAGCAGTGAAGGAGGAAGGCTACAATCAAGGTGAACTAGCTGGAATGGAGCCCAGGCCACGCCACTGCGATTGCCGTTTCCCTGTACTTCTCATCTCTGCTCCGGACTAGTCCTTTTCAAATCTCCCCCATCCCACCTTCCTGTCCCCCTCCCATTGCCCTCACTGAGGAGGCAGTGAGCACAAACTCGGACTCCGCCCATCTGCTGACCTAAGGAGCACGCGCAGTGTCCTCCTGACGCGAAAGCAGCTTGGAATAAAAATGTTCACTTGGTCCTTCCAAGTTTTGGTTTTTCAGGTTGAAATTTGAGTTTTCAGTCCTCCTTCCTACGCCCGTGAAGCTTGAAAGGTACTGTAGACGTCGAAGACGAGCGGGGGCTCGGGAGCCTCCTACAACGGTAAGTCTGGCGTCCCTGTGACACTCTCCGTGCTAGTTTCTGGGAAACTTGGGGCCTTCTGGCCAGCGGTCTCTCCACCTGCCTCGTGGTTTTCCTGCTGAAAGCTCTTCCCTGGGCAGCACTCCCACCCCACGCCCTTTAAACTCTGGAGATGCAGTCAAATCCTGTGCACCCCTTCCCCGCCTCACCACTCTCGGTCCCTGGAGCCCAGATTTCGGCATGGCTGGGGCATCTGCTGACCCAACTCCCAATTTAGTAGTGACCCGAATCCAAGAAAAGCACCCTTTCCTTGGGGTGGGACTTAGGAGGGGAGAACATGGTGTCCCCAGAGAAGATGACCTGCCCTACGCGGGCAGCGGATTTGTGGAAGCAGTGAGGGCGAACCGGCGGCTGGAAAGCGCGGGAAGGACGGTGTGAGGGGATCCGGAGCCGGCATGAGAGAGACGGACACGTGAGGAGGAGAAAATGTCGGTGAAGGGCCATTAGAGAGGGCAAGTCAGCGCATGTGGGAAGGACGGGGCCGCGACATAGGAATTAAAGGATAAGTGGGGAGACTAGCCGGAGGAGTAGCTAACAGACGTGGGAGCAGCAAAGAGTGAGGCGCTTCAGACGGAGGGAGTGGTTCTCAGGAGATCAACTGGGGGAGCGAGAGCGGAGATACAGAGGAGGTTTGAGATGAGGGATCAGTGAGAAACAGCACTGAGAGTCAGCCAGCGGGGGACAGGAAAGACTGTAACTGAGGCAGCACAGGGAACACAGACATGCAGGGGACGCAGAAGTGTATGGAAATGAGAGATTCAGAAATATCAGGGAGAACGAGCAAGTGAAGGTGAAATAGGTTTGAGCCAGCAATTGTTTGAGGGAACAGGTGTAGGTACAGATTACAGAAAAGGGGAGAAAGAGCAGGGGAGGGGCTAGAGGAAACACAGGAAAGGACAACAGTGCAGAGAAACACGGAAAAGACAGAAACAGATCCATACACAGAAGTACAGAGTAGCAGGAGAAGGGGAAACCGAGTGTGAATGAATGGCTACTTGAGGGGATGTGGAGGAAAACATTGTGATTTGTGGGCTTGTGGCTTTGTAATCTTACTTAGTTTCACATTTGCTGAATTGTTTCAGTTAAACAGATTTGAATGAAGATTACAAATGTCCAGTTTGTAAGGCTCATGAATTTTGTAATTACTTACTTCCAGTTGCAACCCCTATTTACTCAGACGTCAAAGACTTGTCTGGCAGTAATGGGTCCCTTGTCATTTCCTGGGATGGGAAGAGAGAGGTAACTTGGAAGAAAAAATTAGTAAGTCTGTCACTACGTGATACTTTTCCAGGAACATTAAAGCATAGGGTCTTTTTTTTTCTTGCAGCTCAATGAATTTGCTTTTATCCTTTTGCATCTCACATTGAATTTATTTTTAAAAAACACATTGAGATAAACCGTAGTATGTTGAGTATCTGTTTTTGTGCAGGTAGTCAGTCATTCACTTCTGAAATAAGCATTAGTGATACCTGTTAACTAGCACATAATATTCTTTTCTAAGTGTGAGGTAGTCTCAACATTTTTTAATTTTGACCATAGAAGTCATTTAAAAAATAGTTTTTCTTTTAAATATATTGTGCCCAGTTTAAAATCTGAGCCCTGCATATTTTGCACTGTTTATAATATGTTGGAACATACATTGGTACTTAATAATATCAGGCTATTTCAGTGTGCACTTGGTAAGGATGTCTATAATCTTAACAGTCACAACCAATTTTATAAATTCATCTAATGTTCAGCAGCTTTTTTCATGCATGTATGTGATTTGTTGAATTAGTAACTGGCCAAAAGGAGCTGTTCTGCTCAAATCTTTTCCTTTCTCTAAAAATATTAAAGGATGGACTGAATTGACCTGAAACATAGTTCCAAAAAGCCCATCTATATATTTTTTAATATTTTATTTATTTATTTTTAGAGGGAGGGGTGGGGAAGGAGAAGGAGGGGGAGAGAAACAATATGTGGTTGCCTCTTGTGTGCCCCCTACTGGGTACCTGGCCTGCAACCCAGGCATGTGTCCTGAGTGGGAATCCAACCTGTGACCCTTTGGTTCCCAGGCCAGCACTCAATCCATTGTGCTACACTAGCCAGGGCGAAAGCAAATCTCTTGATTGTGTAATTTGATAGGCATGTTTTCATGGCTAATATTTTCTTCTAAATTTCAGCATCAAAACTTGCATTTATCATTAAATGTTTTTAATGTAATTACTTGTTTTTTCCTGGATAATAACAAAAAATTTTTGCTCTGGGAGCCTGTCATTTTAGAAGTTTCTCCCCAAAGTCCTCACAGTACCCAGAGGTCTGAGGTGTGATGGGTCTGATATGTCTGGCCTAGTGCTACAGAAAACAGCTCTAGGGGAGCAACATGGGCACCAGGAGGGAACTAAATTAAGATGCCATTTCATGGGCTGCATTGCAGACCTACAGGATTATAAGAGTGGAGCCCTCATTACATTCCAGTCTACATGTGTATTAAATCTACACTGTTTCCCTTCAGAGTCCTATTAAATCACTTGAGAAGTTCTGACAAATGACATGGGGTTTGTCATCCTCCACAGAGTTGGACAGCTTCTCTGGATGGAGCATCATTATTTAATTAAGTGCTCTGGGAAATAATATGCTGTGTTTAGGGATTGGCAGGAAAGCTTTGGGATGCTTTTTTAAAAAATTAATAAATTCTTATCCAAGTATGTGCTTATTGATGAGAGAGGGAGGAAGGAACACTGATGTGAAAGAGAAACATCAATGGGCCTGGACCAGGTATCAAAGCTGCAGTCTAGATAAGTACTCTGATCTGGAATCAAACTCACAACATTTTCTGTGTACAGGATGATGCTGCAACCAACTGAGTCACCAGGGCACAGCATGCATTTTTTTAAAGATTTTATTTATTTATTTATTAACTTTTTAAAGTTTATTTTTAGAGAGGGAAGGGAGGGAGAAAGAGAGAGAGAGAGAAACATCAATGTGTGGTTGCTGGAGGTCATGGCCTGCAACCCAGGCATGTACCCTGACTGGGAATTGACCCTGCGACACTTTGGTTCGCAGCCTGCGCTCAATCCACTGAGCTTCACCAGCCAGTGTGCATTTTATTTTTCATTAAAAATTTTTTTTACTTAGTCACACATAGAAGAAGTGGGGTCAAGGGAAACAAGAGATAGAGTCAGAAGAAGGACACTTGGAGCTTAGAAGAAAGAAAGGTAAAGGTTATCTGCAGGATGGGAGGGAAGGGGAAGAAAAGACATGCCTAGATGCATATGTGACAATGAGAAGCAGGCTTTGGTCAGAGGAGGTAACACGATGCTCTGCTGGGTTTGGGGTTCAGAAGAGCAATGCACGTTCTCATAGGAGTTTTTGGACATCTGTGGGTGGAGACGGCACCTGAAAAGAAGAAAAAACTCACAGTATAGTCTCCATGTAGGAGCTCTTTGTTACTGACTCTCCTGTGACAAAGGACAGGAAAGAGTGGCCTTTTCATCATTTCCAGGTTCTTCTGCCTGTGATTGTGGTAGAAGCAGATTAAAATGGCTGTGCTGAGGTCCTTGAAGGCACATCATCAAAATGCATGTGTGACTCCTCAGCATGTCATTCCAGGAGAAAACAACCCACAGTGGGAGCAGGGTGACATGGCTGCTTCTCAGGTAAACAATGCATCCTGGTGGGTCAGAGGCTGTGTTTGCTTTTCCTCCTAAAATCAGTTTATTAAGAATGGGCAATCTTTATTTTTCTCATTCTAATGTTCTTGCCTAGTGAGGTGGTTTTTATCTACTTATTTTTTCTTTTTCTTGATTGTCAAGGTCAGCAGTTTATATATTTCTGTCCATTGTACCAGAGCCGTTTCTGCATTCTTTTTATCCAGCCTCCTCAAACACATGAGGAATTCCCATCCTGAATCAATGACCTTCAACTACTGAACACATCCCCTCTGTGACAGATCAACCTGGAAGGCACCCATGTCCAACACCCCTGTAGGGATGAGCTCAGAGGGTGGGATATCAAAAAAGAAGGTAAATGTAGGCTTTAGGTTCATGTGGCTGCAGCATCAGCTCTGTAAACCAGAGGTAAGAAAATGCACATTTTACTGGTCAGCATAGCTCAGAGAGTTCTGACAAAGGAGAGAGCACACAGAACACAACTGCTTACTACTTTGGTACAGAATTTTTACAGTTTAAATGCACTATGGTATTTGCATAGAAAAAAACATGGAAGGTATATGTGCATTGATGTTTGCAAAATTTAATGTTCATTTATGATCATTTTCACATAATGATTTATGTATTTTTATTTTTGCCAGTAATGTCACAGCAGTGATGACATGTCCTCCCAGGTGCCTCAGTCACCTGATATCCATTCTTCCAGTCCACCTGATAATCAACTCACTGAGGTGCTCATCATTAACGAGGGTCCAGCAGGGAATTATCAAGAGATGTACTCAAAGGATCACATTTCATCTGGAAACTCCCCTCTTTTTTGTTTCTCTTTCCTTTGGAAAATGAAGGCCATCCATTCATTTCATAGAAATTATTGGCTTTACAGGTGGAGAATTTAATTAATCAGATCTCCTGTTAATTTTTATTATATTCTACACGTCACAGACTAACTCTACTTTTTGTATTTTCAAGACTTTACAAGAATCATATTAATATATGTTCAGTCAGTTAAATTTCTAAGTATAGCTTTCCACTAATGATACCCAGAAATATTAAAAGAAATAAAAAACTAACACTAGCTTTAACTTTTTTATCATCATCTGTGTTCCTATACTTACTGTATTTATAAAACACAAAGGTCATCATCCACAAGTAGTAGTAGATTTAGGAGATTTACACAATGACAAAATAATGTTCATTGACATGAAAATTCTGTTTTCTATCACATTTCATTTGTACTTAGTTTCCATATGTATGTTGTCTGTCTGCATAAAATGTTAACAGTTGAGATACTTAGTCTTTGTACTCTTAAGATGCTTTCATTCTTCTGTTACAGAAACTGCCGTGGACATTCATGAGGTGTTTGGTGTATTTGCCTTTTTTTGAAAAGTTGTAGATCAAGTTTGAGTAAAAGTCAAGGTCTGCCCTTTATGTTTCAGAAAATATTCTCATAACAGAGGAAGAATAATCTTATTCTAAGATTACGTGTACAAATTTTCAAATAAAATTGTGGTCCTGTGTTTCTTATTTATTTAGAACTATAAATCTTATACAAGTCCTTCAGTTCAATGTCATGTGTGAATTATTGTATGGTTTCCTTTTTGTGCTATTCGGCAGTATGGCACCTGACCAAAGACACTGCTGTCACTAATAAAAAGTGAGCTTATTAAAGATGTGAAAATACAGGCCCCATCCCAGAACTTCTAAATTAGAATCTGCATTTTTACAAATCTACATGTCTTTGTTGTCTGAATTAAACGTGAAGTACTTACACTTTCAACTCACCATGCCTTTTCCAGCTGTGAAAGATCCACAATTGATCGTGAAGGAGAAAAACACAATACTCAACAACTCATATACCTGTGTCTATTCCTTCATTTCAAAGTTTATTTTCCTGAAAAGAAAAGTGTCTGCAGTGGATTTGTGGACCTGTGTCATCCTCATTTCTCAGTGTTATAAAATACATTAGAGAACATTTTGGGTCAATATAATTTTATGAGATAATTCAGGATATGCTCCTAGATCAAAACCACTTTTCCTAACACTGTTTTCATGTTGGATGACAGTACGAAGTTGGTCTGTGGCTCCAATGTAAGTGTGTCCTTTTAATCAGGGATCATTGACCTTCAGAGATGTGGCCATAGATTTCTCCCAGGAGAAGCTGGAGTTCCTGGACCCAGCTCAGTGGAAATTGTACACAGATGTGATGTTGGAGAACTACAAGAACCTGGTCTCCCTAGGTGAGGATGACTGCCAGATTTCCTGCTCAACCTGCAGAGTTTCATTTTCTTTATTTTTCTTTCTCATTTGCTTTATTTACTTTTTGGTGTTACAAGGAATAAACAAAAATGTCAAAATTTTTTCCAGCTTGGCTTGTGTGGCTCAGTGGATTGAATGGCATCCTGAGAACCTAACTGTCACTGGTTCAATTACCAGTCCAGGCACATGCCTGGGTTGCGGGCCAGGTCCCCAGATGGGGGCACTTGTGAGGCAACCAATAGATGTTTTTCTGCCTCCCTTTCCCTCTCTCTAAAAATAATCTTTAAAAATGTTTTTTTCCATACATTTTCATTTAATAGATTTAGAGTTACTAGCTTTATGTTTATGTCTTTTCTCCATTGTGATTTAATATTTGCATACTATTTAGGTAAAGGGTCCAATTTCACTCTTTTACATGTGGACATGTAACTTTCTCACTATTAGTTAATGAGAATGTCCTTTTCTTGTGGTATAAGCATTCTGGTTGGAGATCTTCTTTAGTTACAGCCAGAAATATTGTATACTTTATTTTTGTTGATTACAGAAAGAAGAAGGAAGATAGGGAGACAAACATTGACTTGCTGTTCCCCTTATTTTTGCATTCATTGATTGCTTTTTGTATGTGTTCTAACTGAAGATCAGACAAACCATTATGTATATCAGGACTGTCCAATCAACTAACCTGCTCAGTCAGAATGAGAATACTTTTCTTAATTTTTAGAATAAGCACACTTGTTGGTCATTTGACCTTATCCAGAAGTTGTGTAGGCTCTTGTCCACTGTGCTTCATTATTTATATGTCTTAATGTTTGTAATATACTTTTTTGATAACAGCAGCTTTGACATGTTTTAAAATTAGAAAGCATGATGCCCTTAACTGTACACTTCATTTATATAATTATGTTGGTTGCATGGTACCCTGTATTAATTTAATTTTTGTAAATATTTTATTTAGTTTTAGAGAGAGTGGAAGGGAGGGAGAAAGACATGGAGAAACACTGATATGAGGAACATTAATGATTGCCTCTTACATGTGCCCCAACGTGGGCCAAACTGTAGACCCAGACTTGTTCCTGACTGGGAATTGAACTGGCAACTTTCAGATTTGCAGAGCAGCACTCAGTCCACTGATGTGTCAGCTACATCAGCCAAGGCTGACTGCAAATTCTTGGAATGTTTAGATCATGTTGGGTACAACTGAGGCCTTATACTATTAGCATTCCAGTTTAGGATCATGGGATAAATTTTTTAAGTTACTAGCTAATTAATCCTGTCATGAAAAATCTGCATAATCACCACCAATAAAGTGCCAGAAGATTCTTCTTTTTGCCAACACCACATTGGCTTTCGCAGTTGCCTTGACATTGTTCATTGTGCTTTTGCATTCCTATCACTGTATTCCTGAGGCCTTTTTTATATGACCCATGTCATATAAATCTTATGTTTGGGGGGTTATATTTTTATCAAATCATAAATCATAAAGCCAGTTGTCTTCCACCACCAAAATGGGTTCTGAATCCAAACACAAAGATGACATCTGGTGTGGCCATACACATTTTGGCTAGTTTTTCTTGATTTTCTTTATTGCATGTTGTTGACTTACCAGGGTGAAGGATGTTAATGACCACTTGTTTCTGGTGAAATAGTCTATTGGTCATGAACATGCTGCTCTAGATAGTTACTGTGTTATTCATGATGGCGGTTGATATTGAAGACACCTGCAAATTTTTCATTTATGGATTTCTTAAAAATGACCAGCAATGTTTTATACTTTCCTCAAACATGTTGTGCATGTTTTTCGTGAAGATAAGTCTTAAATATCATTCTGATTTATACCATTGATAATGTTATTACATTCTTGTTTTTGTGTGTTAATTTCTGTTAATGTAAAAAAAACAACTAACTTCATGGGCTGCTTTTATATTTTACAGTTTGAAAAATGTTTCATTTCTGTCATTTTTTTAACATGGATGCAGTATGAATTTTGCAGTAAACAATTTTGTCATCAGTTAACCAAGATCATTTTTTTTTCTTTTTATTCTTACCAGGGTGGGGGTACAGAAAACATTTTAAGGCTAGAACAATAAATTTTAAACTGATGGCATCAGTTGCATACAAAAACTATCTACTACTATCTTCTACTACCATTTGTACACCTCTACCTACTATGTCATTGGTATCTTCCATTCCTAGCTTTTATGTTGTGTATGTTATAACATAGATGTAAGATTTTATGACTTGTATTATTGAAAGTTATTTAGGAAATATCAAAGTGACTTGTAATTGGTCATTAGACCATTACTGACTTTTATATTATTGTATGTATTTATATGCACAAAAATTTTATATGTTTATAAGGTGTAGTGTTGTTTATGATTTTACTTACTACATCTAGAAAAATTTTCAAATTGATGTTTCATAGGGCTGGTCCAAAGGTGAGACAATCTTGAGCATTTTGGGCAGTATTATTTTTTTTATTTTAATTATTGTTCAAGTACAGTTTTGTATTTTTTACTCCCATTCTGGCCCACCTGCCCCTAGGTTTTGTCCATGTGTCCTTTCTACTTGTAAAAATATGGAATGCTTCACAAATTTGTGTGTCATCCTCGCACAGGGGCCATGCTAATATTCTCTGTATCATTCCAATTGTAGTATATGTGCTGCTGAAGCAAGCACTGGGGCAGTATTATTGCCAAATATAAGCAACTGTTTCTTCCTTTTTTTTATTTCACTTATATTTAGAGAGAGGGTAAGGGTAGGAGATAGAGAAACATCTATGTGTGGTTGCTTCTCACATGCCCTCTACTGGGGACCTGGCCTGCAACCCTTTGGTTTGCAGGCAGGCACTCAGTCTGCTGAGCCACACCAGCCAGGGCTATTTCTTCCTTTTTGATGTGACTTTTCCTCATTGTACCTTTCTTGGTTTTGCTTTGAACATTTTACTTTTTCTGAAGTATTCAATAATGTATTTTATTCAATGATTGTTTCTCATTTCAATGTACATTTACCTGAGTATGATACCTGTGATCCTTTATTTTCTGTATTTCAGCTATGTCATCTGAACACAATCAGGCCTTGTTGAAAAAGCTAGGAATAGAAGATTTAATCTCTAAAGTAATACTGATAAGATATGAATTTTGTGCCTTTAATAACATATTGAAAGCCTGATAAAGTGTAAGACAAGATAAAAGGATGTTAAAATGCACAGAACTTACTTGGGATAATTATTCAAAATAAAGTCCTTTTTACCTAAAGAGGTGAAAAATAGAACACATTTGGGAAAACTCCTACTTTAAATCAGTTACATTTGCAGATTGATATGTTTCCCAATATTCTAAGTGTGTATACTCTTATGTATATACTAAGGAAACAATTTTCTAAGTGCCTATATTGTTCTAAAAGCAGTCTGGAAAATCTAGTAACTCATAATTTGTTGTGTGAATGATCATTCAATTGTCTGAAATGGAGAGTGGGATTAAACTTTCAGTTAATAATTTGTAAAACTTAGTGAATTCTAATGCACATATAAAATTTCAATGTGATCAGTTTAGCCATCCCTTTATTAAGGAACTACTATACTTCATTGAGAAACAATGTTTTTCTTCCAATATAAAATTTTCATGAACTGGGGAGTGATTTTTAATATAACCAACATGGTATAACAGGGATCACAGAATAGTTATTTTAGAATAAGTTAAATGATCAATGAAATTACAGGTGTCACTAAAGGCCTCTTATCTTCATTGATTACCAGAGTACATATAATGAAGACAAGTTATCAGTGCAATGAAGGTGGGAAAATTTTTAACCACAAGTCAAATCCTAACGAACATCAGGATACTCATCTTTCAGAGAACCATTATGAAGGTGAAAATGTCTTTGACCAAATCCCAAATCACATTACACATCAGGTTATTCCTATTGTGGAGACAACAAACAAATGAAGGAAACATGTGAATATTTTTAAGCAATCTTCAAATAGTACTGAAAAAAATATTTCTGTTGGGCAGGAAGTTTATAAATGTTTGCCATGTGAGAAAGTGTTCCGTAAACTATTTAATCTAAATAGAGTTAACATCTGTACTGGAGAAAAAGATAAATGTAAAGAATGTGGTAAAACATATAATTGGCCTTCGGGTCTTCCTCTAAATCAGAAAATACATACTGGAGAGAGGCCCTATAAATGTAGAGAATGTGGTAAAGCCTTTAGCCACTCTTCCAACCTTAGTCAACATAAGAAAATTCATTCTGGAGAAAAACCTTACAAATGTAGGGAATGTGGTAAAGCATTTGGTCGCTCCTCAATCCTCGTTGAACATCAGAACATTCACACTGGAGAGAAGCCTTATAAATATACAGAATGTGGTAAAGCCTTTTGCAACTCTTCAAACTTTAGTCAACATCAGAAAATTCATACTGGAGAGAAGCCTTATAAATGTAGAGAATGTGGCAAAGCATTTAGCCAGTCTTCATACTGGAGAGCAACCTTATATATGCAAAGAATGTAGTAAAGCCTTTAGCCGGTCCTCAAAGCTTAATATCAGAGGATTCATACTGGTGAAAAGCCTTATATATGTAGACAATGTGGGAATGCCTTTAGGTTTTGCTCCTCCTTTACTAAACAAGAAAATTCATACTGGAGAGAAGCCTTATAAGTGTAGAAAACATGATAAAGCCTTTATCCAATCCTAAAACCTTACTCTGCATCAGAAAATTCATACCGGAGAGAAGCCTTACAAATGTAATGAATGTGCAAAAGTTTTTTGCCAGCCATTAAAGATTAGTACTCATTAGAAAATTCATAATGGAGAGGTATAAACCCACAGAATGTGGCAAAGCCTTTAAGGAGTCCTCCACCCTTACTCAACAAATTCTATAAATAGAATTCATGCTGGTGAAAAAGTCTTATATGTGTAACAAATGTGATAAAGCCTTTATCCACTCCTCAACCCTTATTAAACCTCAGAGAATTCATACCAGAGAGAAGTCATGTAAATGTAGGGAATATACCAAGTATTGAAGTGGTCCTCAACTGTTACTGATTATCAGAGTAATCATACTTGAGAGAAGTCATAAACATGGAGTATGTGGCAAAACCTTTAATCCTCAAAATTTACTCCACATCCTTTCACACTGTAGAGAAACAATGTAAGTATAGCGTATGTGCCAAATCTTTTAATCATAAGTGATGTCTTATCCAACATTAAATCACTTGTTCTTTAAATAAACTGTACAAATATAGGAAATGTGGCATAGCTTTTAATCTGCTGAAAATTTAATCAACATTGGAGAATTCATGCTGAAGAATAAAACAGTTTGAAGAATTGAACAAAAGCTTTAAACATTTTTAATCATTCAACATCAGGCAGTAGATATATTGGTCGAGGAGCCTTCAAAATAGAACAAGTTGGTAAAGTTTTTAATTCTTACCTCTCTCAATATTGAGTAATTCATACTGGAGACAATCTAGCAAATATAAAAAATGTGGCAAAGCTCTACCCACTCAAAATCCTTACTCAACATGAGAATTCATTCCAAAGAAACAATATTAATGAAAAGAATGTTGAACTTGTTGTTTCAACATTCCTGCAAAATGTGAGAATTCATACTAGCAAAAAACCTTAAAAGAGATTATAGGAAGTAGTATATTGGACCTACAACCATATTTATCAGGGAATGTACAATGGGTTGAATCCTACATTCATAGTAAAGAAAAATCAGCTTTTCTCCAAAATAATAACTGTGCACAAAGCCCAAAGATTTATGCCTGAAAGTGGCTTTGAAATGTAAAAAATTTAGTAAAGTATGTAATTGAAACAGAATTTTGGAATATCAGTGAATTCACAGTAGAAAGTTAATAATCATTTTCAGCTATTGCTATAATTAGAATACTTGTTATAAAGAATCATCCAAAATTTTAAAACAGATCATTACTTTCAGTGTGCTTGAAAATGACAAGGGGATGGATGTCTGGATATGTGTAATTACTTAGAATATAAACTATCATTAAGTCCTGCCTGGTGTGGCTCAGTAGTTGAGTGCCTGCCTAGGAACCAAAGAGTAGCTGGTTCCCAGCTGGTTCTCAGCTGGTTCCCTGATTCCCAGTCAGGGCACATGCCTGAGTTGCAAGCCAGGTCCCCAGTAGGGGGCACATGAGAGGCAACCACACACTGATGTGTTTCTCCCTCCCCCTCTCTTAAAAATAAAGAGTACCTTTAGAAATAAATAAATTTGTATATTGACATTTGAAATATTTTGAGAATGAGTATTAATGTGATTCCAGTCTCACATCTGTTGATGTGGCTATGTTTTTATTTCTGGTGTTTGTGTGAAATTACAGGGTTGATTGTGGTGTCTTAAAGATCTGTCAACTCATATATTAGGTGGGCTTCACTCATATTTACCTTTCCATGGAAGATTGCAGACATTGTAATGCACAGCATATGAAGAAAGCCTAAATGAAATTGCTTCTGTTGGTTGACTAACTACAGTGTTCTGTGTCATCACGGGGTTTCTCGCTTTGCAGGGTACCCACTTCTCTGCCTCAAGGCCTTTGACATGCTGCTGCACACAATGGAACCCATTCTCTGCCTCTTGACCTCCTGACTCCTGTTGATCTCAGGCCCAGCCTACATGTTCCTCCTCAGGGAAACCCTTCCTATACTTGCAGCAGAGTTAGGCAACCCCACAATGTGTCCTGGACACTAGACCTCGTGTTAGAGCACTGGCCATATGCCTGGTATGCAGCAGACAGTGAGTTTCTTGGGGCGGGGGGGAGACTAAACACTAAGTATTACAAGGGGCTTGATTTTCCCCTATATTATTTGCCTTAAATTTCCTACTTGGCCCAGTCTTCTCTTTTGGGCACTCAAAGCCCCAAATCCATACATCCCACAGAGGGGGGTAGCTGAGTCAAGGCCCAGGGGCTCAGGCCCCCAGGTATTGGCTGTGCTCATACTCTTGCTCTCCAGATGTTAACAGATTTGACAAAACTAATCATTTTGTCTGCACTACATTATAATTTTTTTGGCTCTCCATTACCTACAGGATAAACCCAACCTCTTTACCTTGGCATTCTAGGCCCTCTGGTGCTAGGTCCCAGCTATATATTTTTTTAAAGGTGTGACCTTTTCTTAACACCAGCACTTGGCCCCAATGAGTCTTGTTGCTAATTCCTGCTCATGCTCCAGGCACAAGGTTGACCATCTCCTGTACCTGTTAGGTTGCACTATTTTACTGTACCTGCCCAGCCTGCATCAGATGTAATGGGACCATTGATGATATCACCTATCTTCTGTTTCCTCTGTTAATGGCAGTGAGGCAACTCATACTATTAATATAATCAATAGAGGACAACTTTTTATGCAAATTTAAAGCCACAATGAGTCCCCATGACTTGTAACCCTTAGTTTATTTTTTTTTAATTTAAATTTATACTAGAGATGGGACAGGACACAGAAGGACAAAGAGAGGCACCTCAAATTGTTCTACTTACTTTTGGATCCATTGGTTAACTCTTGTATGTTCCCTAAAAATAAAACTAGCAATCTTGGCGTTTTGAGGCAAGGCTCTAACCAGCTGAGCTACCAGCCAAGGCAGCTTCAGATTTTTTAAATACTAAGTCTTTTACTTTTATTTTACTTTTTTAGCATTCTAGGCAGAGAGGCTCTCTTCTTCAGAAGATAGAATTTGGGGAACCATATATTCATCCTGTTTATGCTTTTAAATCCTGGTCTACAGTGCAGCAGATTGAGCATCCAGATGGGACCAAACATGAAATGTTCTTCTTCAGAGATATTCCAGTATCCAACCTCACCCTAAATTGGCATCTCAGACATCAACACATTCTTATGTTTATCTTTCACAAAGGGAACACTTTCAATAGTTGCTAGTCATCAGACATGGTGAGAATTGTTTACACCACATAGGAAGTCAGGATGGAGAGGACAGAGAGAAGCTCTGGGGCACAGGAAAGACATATTCTAAAGAGCCTTTGAGTGCAAGTGTAAATCCACACATACTTCCCATGTTCAGGGATTCTAATAGTGGCTTTAGATAGCAAGTCTTTCTGACCAATAATATAGTGAACAAGTCTCTTCTATCTACTCTTGTCAGAACTTTTGGAGCTACCTGACCAGTAAAGTATGCATTTTCTTACCCTGTTCTACAGAGCTGATGCTGCAGCCACAAGAACTTAAAACCTATGCTTCCCTTCTTCACCGATACCAGAACCTCTGAGCCCATCCCAAAAGAGGTTGATCTCTCACAGAGGGGATGTGTTCAGTAGTTGAAGGTCATTATCTCCAGATTCTTTATGCTCTCACAGTCTTGATAGAGAAAATGTAAACAAGGCTCTGGGACAAAGACAACAAGTATTCTTAAGAGCTGACCTTGACAATCATAAGAAGCAAAGGAAAACAATAACAAGCTGAAAACAACCTCACTTCACACAGGAACAACAGAAGTAGAAAATTAAAGGCTGCAAATCCTAAATCCAGGGATGTTAGAAGAAAAAGCAGACACAGCCTGGGACTGGGAACACAATGTTTACCTAAAAAGCAGCCATGTCCTGGCCCTGCTCGTGCTCTGGGTTGCTCTGTCAGGTGACATTACATGGAGGAGTCATGTTTGCATTTTGACAATATGCCTTCACAGGAATTAGTGTGACCCTTGAACTGCTCCCACCACCTTCACAAGCATAAAGACCTTGAAATGCTCAAAAGAACATTCTCTACTTTGTCACAGGAAAGAGTCAGGAACAATGAGCCCCTACATGGAAACTTCACTGTGAGTTTTGTCTTTCTTGTTTTTCAGATGCTCTCCCTTCCCTCAGATGTCCCAAACTCCTATAGCAATGAGAACATGTGCTGCTTTCCTGAACCCCAACCCCAGCACAGCACTCTGTTACCTCCCCTGACCAAAGCGTGCCCCCACTCCTACAAATGCATTCCGGCATGCCTTTTCTTTCCTCTTCATCCCTTCTACCCCACAGATCATTTCTGCCCTTTCCTTCTCCTAAGCTCCAAGGGTCCTCCTTATGACTCTGACTCTGTCTCTTGTTCCCTGAGCCTTCTTCTACTTATGAATCGTAAATGAAAAAAAAATTTTTTTTAAGATTTTATTATTTATTTTTAGAGAGGGGGGAGGGAAACAGAGAGGGAGAGAAACATCAATGTGTGGTTGCCCCTCACATGCCCCCTACTAGGGACCTGGCCCACAACCCAGGCATGTTCCCTGGCTGGCAATTGAGCCAGCGACCCTTTGGTTCACAGGCCAGCGCTCAATCCACTGGGACACACCAGCCAGGGTGAAAATTCCTTCATATAAAAAATACAGAGACTTCCAGTCAAGATGGTGTTGTATGCACACACGGCTCACCTCTTTGCACAACCACATCAAAGTTACAACTAAAATATAGAACCATCACTCAGACAGTCAGAAATCAAGTTGAATGGAAGTCTCTGACAACTACAGAATTGAAGAAACCACATTTATCCAGACTGGTATGGGGGGCACAGACACGGAACTGGCTGTTCCCTCACCTCTGTGTGTTTGAAAAAATCGGCAAGGGATACCTTCCACACCAGCCCGCCACCCCAGGATTCCAGTGCCAGGAAATAAGTCCCTACATCTTCTGGCTGCAAAAACCAGTCGTGATTCAGTCAGTGGAAGAAAGTGCTGGAATCCAAGGACTTCCTCTTAAAGAACCCACACACAGACTCGTACTCAGACTCATTCACTGGGCTCCAGCACTGCGGCACCTTGAAAAGCACCACTGCCATACAGGGAGAATCTAAAGGGTTTACTATCAAGGTAAGCAGAGGCCATTGTCCCTATTCTAAACCATCCCCACACAGAACCAAAAGCTGACAAGCTGGTGCCATACCTGAGACTCCATCAACATGGCTAAAGCCTGAGCGATCTCAGAGATTCTATCCCACCCAACTTCTGGATTCATACAAGCTGCTTTTCCTATGAATGGCTGGTCTTGGCTCAAGGTTTCACATCTTCCTTAATCCTCTCAAACATGCAACTGTTGGCCTCCAGGAGCCCCAGGCCTGGCACTAGCAGCAGTAAGCCTTTATTCTCTTGGTTTTGCCTGGGAATCTCCAAGCCCCGCAGTAGTTGACATCTCATATTGCTTTACAACTTGGGAAAGGTGGTCCCGGGCAAAACACAAATGGGGGCTAGTCTTGACCTGCCCACCCAGGAAACCCCAGGGATCGGTGCACCCAGTGGACAGCTACAAACTACGCTGGAGCACCACTACCCTGCCCACCACAGCAGGTGGAGGTTGGTGGTTAAGTGGTCACAGCCAGTCCTTGCAGCTGACTGGCCTGGAAAAATCCCTCCCATTGACCTGCCAATAGCAACCAAAGCTCAACTACAAGAGGAGGACATAGTCAGTCCACATGAAGCACACACTTCCAACACCCCACTTCGGTGATACCTGAGGCTATGCCACTGGAATGCAGAGGACACCTACTACATTAGGCCACACTGCCAACACACAGGGTCAAAGCAGCTCTACCTACTACATAGAAACAAACACAGGGAGGCTGCCACAATGAAGAGATAAACATGGCACAAATAAGAAAACAGATCAAAATTCCAGAAAAAGGGCTAAAGGAAATGGATAAGCAATCTATCAGATGCAGAGTTCAAAACACTGGTTGTAAGGATGCTCAAGAAACTCAGAGAGGAACACAACAGCATAAAAAAAATCCGGTCAGAAACAAAGAATACACTGATTGAAATAAAGAACAATTTACAGACCTGGCTGGTATGGGTCAGTGGATTGAGTTCTGGCCTGTGAACCAGAGCCATCAGTTCAATTCCCAGTCAGGGACATGCCTGAGTGGCAGACCAGACCCCCAGCTGGGGTCATCTGAAAGGCAACCACATACTGATGTTTCCCCTCTCTCTAAAAATAAATAAATAAAATCAAGACCATAAGCCTTGGGGGGAAACAAAAAGAACAATCTACAGGGAAAAAACAGTAGAGTAGATAAGCCAAGAATCGAATCAATGATTTGAAACATGAGGCAAAAAACAACCTATTAGAACAAGGAAAAAATAACCCCCCAAAAATGAGGGTAGTAAAAGCAGCTTCTGAGACAACTTCAAAAGATCCAACAACATTTGCTTCATAGGAGTGCCAGAAGGAAAAAAGAAAGAGCAAGAAACTGGAAATGTTTTTTAAAATAACAAAAGAAAACTCACCCAATTTGGTGAAGGAAACAAGACATGTAATTCCAGGAAGCAGAGAAAGAGTCCCAAACAAGATGGATATAAAGAGGCCCACTCCAAGACACATCATAATTAAAATGCCAAAGGTTAAAAATAAAGAGAGAATCTTAAAAGCAGCAAGGGAAAAACAGTTACCTACAGGGAATTTACAATAACACTGTCAGCTAATTTCTCAAAAGAAACTTCACAGGCTATAAGGGATTGTCAAGAAATATTTGAAGTCATGAAAAGTAGAGACCTAAAGCCAAGCTTGGTCTGCCCAACAAAGCTATCATTTAGAATCAAACAGCAGATAAAGAGCTTCTCAAACCACTATTATATGAAAAGACAGACTAAGATAAAGCTGATGAAAACCATGAAAATAAAATGGCAATATATACATACCTAACAATTTAATATATTTTTGAAGATTTTTAAAAATTGTTTAATTTTTTGCCATGAGGTGTGTTTTATTTTTATTAATAATATAAATAATTTTATATAATATCCCAGGGCAAACTGGAAAATTTGGCAGTTTGAATGGAGATGACCCACAGGCTAATGGCATGGGCGCAGAATATCTGGGTTCACAGTGCAGTTTGTCGCTCATGTCCATTTTGCAGGTAGCTTTTTCTCCACTACTGGAGTCCCAAAGATGATAGTAGGGGTGAGGAATCCTCCAGGATCTTGAGAAATTTCACCCTGGTTCTCCTGTTCAATGGTCTCTTTGGTAGGCAAGGTGTTCTTCTCCTGCATCTCTGTCTTCTTCAGCTCAGCCTTATCAAAGCTGGCGATTTTCCCCATGTCCAGTTTGTCTGCCATTTTCTTAAAACAAGCCTTGGCCTTGGCTGCCAAATCAGGGTCCTAGCTCCCACTCTCATTGCTGCAAAAAGAGATCTATTTTTATTTTTTTTTAAGATTTTATTTATTTTCAGAGAGAAGGGAGGGAGAAAGAGAGGGAGAGAAACTTTGATTTGTGAGAGAAACATTGATTATTTGCCTCTTGCTCATCCCCAACTGGGGACTTGGCCCACAACCCAGGCATGTGTCTAGGCAGTGAATCAAACCAGCAACCCTTTGGTTCACAGGCCGGCACTCAATCCACTGAGCCACACCAAACAGGGGTAAAGATTTTATTTCTTTTTAAAGAAAAGGGGAGGAGAAAGAGGAACATCAATGTGTGAGAGATACATCAATGTTTTGCCTCACATGCCCCCAAGTGGGAGCTGGCCCACAAGCCAGGCATGTGCCCTGCCTGGGAATGGAACTGACAACCTTTCAGTTCACAGGCTGGCACTGGATCCACTGAACCACATCAGCCAGGACTATCAACAATTGAATTAAAAAAAAAAAAACTAAGCAAACAAGAACTGAGACAGAATCATTGATACAGAGAGCATGGTTGCCAGATGGGAGGAGATTGTGGGTGAATGGGTGAACAGATGAGATTAAGTAAGAAGTACAAATAGGTAGTTACAGAATAGCTACGGGGATGTAAAGTACAGTATAGGAAATGGAGTACAGGAAAATAAGTTATATGATGACCCATGGACATGAACTAAGGTGAGGGATTGTCTGAGGAAGTGGGGAGTGCTCGGTAGAGGGGGATATAGGGGAAAAATCAGGACAACTATAACAGCATAATCAATAAAATGTCACTAAAAAATAAATGCATACCATGAACTGGTGGCTCAGTTGGTTGTAACAATGTCCTGTCCACAGAAAACGTTGTGGGTTTGATTCCAGTCAGAGTACTTTTCTAGGTTGCAGGTTCCATCCCTGCTTCTGAAACATGCAGGAAGAAGCCCATCAATGTTTCTTTTTCACATACGTTTTTCTCTCTCTGTAAATTAACTATCCATACCTTTAAGTGAGTCTTTCTAAAAAATGCATCCCAAATTATTCCTGCTAATCCATAGGCTAACCTTAGCATCAACTGGAGCATCTCACTAAACAGAGATACCCCACCAAGAGCAGTTGTTTAACTCTGTGAAGAATGGCACAGCTGATGTCATTTCTCAAACTTCTCAGGTGATTTAATAGGACTCTGAAGGGAAACAGTGTAGATTTAATAAGCATGTAGACCCTAAGGTAATGAGGGCTCCACTGTTACAATTCTGCAGATCTGCAATGCAGCCCATAAAATGGCATCTTTATCTAGTTCCTTCCTGTTGCCCGGAGTTGCTCCCCCAGAACTGTTTTCTGTAGCACTGGGCCAGGCATATCAGAGCCAGCACATCTCAGACCTCTGGGTACTGTGAGGAATTTGGGCAGAAACTTCTGAAATGACAGGCTCCCTGGGCAAAAATTATTTCTTATTATCCAGGAAAAAACAAAGAATTATATATATATCTATATATTTTTAAGATTTTATTTATTTATTTTTAGAGAGGGAAGGGAGGGAGAAAGAGAGAGAGAAACATCAATGTGCAGTTGCTGGGGGTTATGGCCTGCAACCCGGGCATGTACCCTGGCTGGGAATCAAACCTGCGACACTTTGGTTTGCAGCCCACGCGCTCCATCCACTGAGCTATGCCAGCCAGGGCTCAAAGAATTATATGAAAAGTATAAAATGATAAATGCAAGTTTTGATGCTGAAATTTAAAAGAAAATATTAGCCATGAAAACATGTAATTACACAATCAACAGATGGTCTTTCTGGGAAACACATTTCAGGTCAATCCAGCCCACCCTTCAATATTTTCAGAGAATGGAATAAACTTGATGGTAACAGCTCCTTTGTGGCTCAGTCACTAATTCAACAAATCACATAAATACAAGAAAAAGCTGCTGAACTCATGAAACTAGGTTCTCACTAAGATCATTGATCACCTTATCAAGTGCACACTGAAATACCTCATATTACTAAGAACCAATAGATTTTGCAACATATGATAAATAGTAGAAAGGATACAGCGCTCAGAATTTAAACTAAATACAATATATTTAAAAGGGAAATTGAAAAATTGTTTTAAATGCAGTCTTAAGCTTCGCCTACAAATTGGGCTCTGCATCTTTTTTTTTAAGAGAGGGGAGAAGAGGGAGATAATGAGGAAGGGAAACATCAATGTGCAAGGACCTGTTGGTTCTCACACCCCTAACTGGGGATCTGGTCTCCAACCCAGGGGCATGCCCTGTCTGGGAACTGAAACTTCAGCCCTTTGGTTTGCAAACCAGCACTCAATCCACTGAGCCACACCAGCCCACCTGGAATTTATATATATAAAGTATGTATGTAATGAGTTCCATGGTCAAAGTTTAAAAAACCTTGAGACTGCCTCATAATTTGACAAGATTATTAAATGCTGGTTGAGAGACATCACCAATGCTTACTTCAGAAGTTACTACTTATAGAAAAGTAGATCTCCAACAGATGAAGATTAATCTCTGTGTTTTTTAAAAGTAAATTCAGCCCTGGCTGATGTGGCTCAATAGACTGAGTGCCAGCCGGCAAACTGAAAGATCCCAGGTTTGATTCCCAGCTTTGATTCCCGGTCGTGGCACATACCTGGATTGTGGGTCAGGTTTTTGGCTGGGGGCACACTAGAGGGTAACCAATCCATGTTTCCCTCCCTCCCTTCCGCTTTCTTTAAAAAATAAAAGTAAATTCAATGTGAGATGCAGAAGTAAAAAGTAAATTCATTGAGCAGAAAAAAGACCCATGCTTTTAATATTCCTGCAAAAAGCATCATGTGGTGACAGACTTTTCATTCCTTCTCCAAGGTCACGTCCCTCCGGCATCTCTCACTTGCGTTGCAGTCTCTTTCGGCCCCTCCCCGACCTTTTCTCCTAGTCATGAGTCCGCCTTGCTCTATCGGTCTCCGGATCCCCGGCCGCCCTCTCTCACTCCACAAAGCCACTTCCTCAAAGAGCAGGTCACGTCTCCTGGGGACAGAGTGTACCCACTTCCTAAGTCCCACCCGTAGGAACGAGTGCTTTTCCTGGGATTCGGACAAGTTATTAAATGCTGGAGGGCGGGGGTCTGCAGATCCCCAGGCCGAGGTACAGTCCCGGCTCCAGGGGCCAAGTCGCAAGGCAGCGGGGAGGGGCGAAAGGTCTTCACTGTCTTTCCCGACACTTTCAAGACGTGGGGTGGGAGGGCTATGCAAGAAAGAACTTTCAACGAGAAAACCACAGGGCAGGCGGTGTCCAACGACCCGAAGGCAGAGAAACAGTGGGCAGGACGGCCTCAGAGCTGCCCGGGAAATGAATGTAGAGCGTCCTCTTAGCAGGGTCTCCCAGGGACCCTGGACTCACCACTAAAGGAGCCTCGCAGCGGAGATTTCACCGACTGTAAGCGACCTGCAGGTTTCACCTGCGTCGGAAGGAGGACTGAGAAAATCAAGCTTCAATCGGAAACGCCAAAACAAAGCAAGTACGCTTGACCTTTCCTACTCGAGCGCTTCACAGCGTCTGTAACAAACCGCGCATGCTCCTCACCTCAACGGAGGGGAGGAGTCAGAGCTTTTGCTCTGCGCTAAACTGTGAGGGCAGTGGTGAGGGACGGGACGAACGGAGGCGGAAGCGGAAGGGGTTGCTTGGAAAAGGCCAGGTTTGGGCGGAGGTGAGGAATGTGAGGGGCGGCCTCCGTGATGTTGGCTGGGCCCCATTCCCTCTAGCTGTCCTTGGTTATAGCCTTCTTTGTTCACGGTTTTTCATTTATCCACGTAAATTAGTCCTAAAATCTGTGTTGGGAACAAGGAAATTAAGGACTAAATTTAACCTTAATAGACAAGAACCACATTGTAGCTAAAAAGAAATGATAAAAGAGACAAAGTACAGTCAAAGCGAACATCCTGTGTCTAGCAGACGCTCTCCCCTGGGTAGGCTAGATAAGCAGTGCTTTGTAGTTTTTAATGAGAAAATAGAAAACTAGCTAGCTAGAGCCAGGAGATTACTAAGTTAATGAACAAACATCCTGCCTTCCCGCCTTATGAAAGAATGCTTGGTTTGAAATTCCCGAGCGCGGTCTTTGTAAGCGAATTACTAACTGCCACGTCTGCTTCTGTATAACGCTTGCTTGCCTGCCCATATATAAGAATGTAGTTGTAAGCACTCGGCGCGACTCTCGTTTGCAGCTCCTTGTGGGCACTGTGTCGCTGGACACCTTGAGAGTTCGCCCCTGCGCAGGTTAAACTTGGCCAATAAAGTAACATGTTTGATACCCTGAAAGTCTCCTATATTTGTTCTCAAGTTTGCTGGATGCTACAATCTGTAACATTTCTTTTCAAAATTACTATTTTGGTGTCCTCCAGTGATTACATTTTGGATAAGATCTTTGCCACACACTGGGACCTTTCTCTTGGCACTCCCCTTTCTTAGCTATACAAAATGGTGCTGGGAGGGAAAAGGGGGCATTCTGGGAGCAGAGTCTGAACAGAGCACTGGGGACAAACAGGACGTCAGTCCTGACTAGAGCCCAGGCATGCGTAGTGAGAGAAAGTGAAGGAGTGGCACCCACCCTGTGGGCCTGCTTGAGGAGTGGCCTGAACTTACAAGCTTTTTGCCCCCAAAATATATTTTTCAGGTTTAAAAATGGTGGTATTGAAACCAGAAAAGTTGGCATTCATTATGCCTGTCGTCACCAACACCAAGAAGTAGAGACAGGGTTTGAAACTTTATGGGTGCTTTATTTAGATGGCCAGTGATCTGAGTAGACAGCTGGTTATGTACCCTAAAAGACCATTTTATATTTCATTTTAAGCCAGCCTTTTTTATAAGGAGAATAAAATTTTAGGTAAGGGATTTGAAATGGGGTGGAAGGGGATGTAGATAAAAGGTTTGGGGTTAATGAACAAGGTCAGTGAGCTAAAAGCTGCAGTCCAGCACTCTCACCTCTTGACAGGTGATTCTTTATCTGTGTCCTGTGCAGGAGGATGTCCCTCCCTGGAGTACAGTGGCTTAGATACACCTGGATTGCTTTCAGTTCCCCTGGGGCAGAAAGGTTGAATTGATTTTGTCTCCTGGACTCCAAGTGGTTCACATCTTCAGTTCCTGAAACAATAGCTTTTTACATGCATTAATTACTAAAATTTTCCAACCCTTGAGTTCCCCTATCATTTTGTATCATGTTAAGTGAAGTAAGTCAATCTGAAGAGGCAAATATCATATGATTTCTCTTATATCTGTGTAATGAGCATATGTTTTGCGATATATTTTTTTCCTATAACTCAGCCCTTGAGCCCCACTCGGGTCATCTGACCCAAGCCTTAGGAACTGGAAGCAGTAGGCCACCTATAAGTCTACCAGCCCTGCAGGTAGTTCTGGTACGCAGGAATAACAGTAAGTCAACACAGGTGACTGAAATTCACTCAGCTTTTATTGAGGCAAGTTCAATCTCAGCTAATAATAATCAATCAATACGAATAACACTCAGAAACAATCAGTTACAATATCATACAAAGAGAATTGGGGAACAATAAACCTGAGTCCCAAGAGTCCAGATCAGGTCTGAGTCCAGGAGGCAGCTGGGCAGTTAATGTGTTGCAAGGCAAAGTCAGAGGGATGAAATCAAGGCACAACTCTTTTCTCCTGAGGAAGAACGTGCAGGTTGTTTCAAAGTAACTTGCTCTCAGGATGCACTTTCTGTGGTCTGAAATCCTCTGCTTATATACTCTTGTATGATGCAATGTTGCATTAGCTGTTTAACACACAGTTGTTTTGTGCACATGTGGTTTATGTTACTCTACTGTGCATGCTCTGAGAGGATGGTGTTACACTTTCAATGGGCACATGTTTATTCCCTTCTACTGCACCACATTCAAGGGACTGCATGTTCCTCCATCATTGCTGTACTGCACATGCTCTAAATGTGTTTTTTTCAATGCCATCTTAGTAAACAAGACTCACGTCATCTTAGTTCAGTTCTGCTCTCTACAATGTGTGGAATCTACAACAAAAATAGATAAAATAAGAACTGACTCATAGAAACCAAGAACAGATTAAGGCAGGGGTCCCAACCTCCTAGCCTTGGACAGTACTGGTCTGGGCCTGTCAGGAACTGGCCACACAGCCGGACACATCCTTGAACAACCCCCCACCCCCAAAGTCTATGGAAAAATTGTCTTCCATGAAACAGGTCCCTGGTGCCGAAAAGGTTGGGCACCACTGGACTAAGGGTTGCCAGGGAAAAAGAGGTTTGGGGCAGAGTGAAGGTGAAGAGATTAGAAAGTACATAGTGGCAGTTACAAAATAGTCACCGGAATGTAAATTACAGTGTAAGGAATATAGTCAGTAATAATGTAATAACTATATATGCTAGGTAAGGAATCATCAATGAGAATATTTTGTAAACTATATGATTGTCTAAAAGTGCTTGCTGCACACTTGAAACTAATACAAAATAATACTGAAAGTAAACAGTAATTGAAAACCAAATTTTTTTAAAGAGGTGAAGGGAGGAGGAAAGGGAGAGAAATATCTTGCACCAGCCCCAGCTAGAGACTGAGTATGCGATTTAGACAGATGCTCTGGCCAGGAATCAAACTGGATACATTTGTAGCTCCAAGCTCAACCAACTAAGAAACACCAGCCAAGGCAACAAATTTTTTTAAAAGAGAAATGTTCCTGTGTGTTTTTTGTCTGTGGAGAGGCTTTGATTCTTACCCAATTTAAGTCACTATGTTGAACAGTTTTAAGGGGAAGCATACATTTATGTGAGACAATTGTGTTAGAAAGTAAGTTGTTTTTTATTGCCTTTGAAAAGGTCTAAGTCAACAGCTATTTTTGCCTAAGATTGCAAGCATTTCCTGCTGGTGAGAATGATTCAACTCTGTAGGAACTGGGACCTGAGACGCTGGGAGGTGGGGAATTGCAGAAACATTACTGCAATTAGAATGAATGGAAAACTTTATTAAACAACTACTGCAATTATATGTGTAACCATTAAGAAGTAGAATGTGAAATACACAGCTCTCCCTGGGTACAAAAAGACAATCACATAATGAAACTCAGCAGTGTTTCCTTTTCTATTGCCCATTCACCAGGGAGGCCAGGATTCAACAAGGCCCGTTCTGTTGCAGAAAGTAACTCACGCAGGTGAGGTGGTGGAGAACGATCCTTTATTACCCACGCAGGCTCAGAGGAGAATCTCCAAATTCTAAGCCTGATCTTCGTTCTCCCGGGGTTTGAATAGCCCCGGGCTTCCTACCTACCTGGCTAAGCGAGGTTTCAGAAGCTAAATGCGGAAGTTAGGGCTAGCTACCTTATATGGGAAACAAAGAAACAAAGTGCAGGAGGAATTTGCAGAAGCCGCAGAGCACGGAAGCTTATCATGGGAGTTTTCTTTTTCTGCCACAGTTCATTGTCTTGTAGAGACATGACCTGGGATGTGAGAAAGACCAGAAGATGTAATTATTCAAGACAATGTGCATTGCTTTTAAAAGAAATAAGGTTTTAAAACTTGATGTAAACTACATTAAATGTTCTGTACCATAGTTGGAATAGTTTTAAACATCTTTGAAATTTCCTTACATCAGAACATCTTTCAATCAATCGTATCCAAATACAATTTCAAATTCACTGTATGTTCCTTGGGACAGTAACTACAAAGCTTACTTTTTATTTTAAAATTGTAACCTTTTCCTCTTTTTTGGTGCCCTATTTCAAAATGTTCTGTAGGTGTGAATAAGCCTATAAATTGTATAATCCCAAGATTAACATTTGGATTTATTCTTGCCTCAAGAATTGCTAATTTTGCAACATTTAATAGGGAGATACATTGTCTGCAATATAAACCTAAGTAAACTAAATTACCAAATATCAACTAAATTTCTCTTTCTACACTCAACAATTTTTGTTGTTATATGTGCTAGTCAATATCTATGAAGTCTGGTTTTTTTGGAAGATTTGATCTATAGAGAAATGGTGAGACTGTGTGCAGTGAACAAAGCTCAGGGGCAGTGAGCTCCGTCCTGGGAGTTGGGATAGAGAGTCAGGAGAAGGGTTGTTTCCTGTTTTAACTTGAGCAATTTATCTTCTAAAGGTTCAATTTTGCCCTGTATAATGCGTATGTTTTGACCAAATTTTTGAGGGAAAATAAGGATGCCCATTACATAGGTGTTATCTGAAATTCCTTGTATCTGTAATTGTTACATAAAAATTTCTTGTATCATATGTTCAAAAATAAATGCTAAAATTCCTTTAATACAAAAAATAAGGATCTAGTGGAAATAAAAAATTGAATTGAAAAAAATGAAAATGAAAGATATTTTCCTGAAAGTTGGGCCAAAAACATGGATGGACATTATACACAGAAAAATACAGTATATTATTTATTTATTTAAAATAATAAAAGTTCACTAAAATATTAGGGTAAAAATACTTTAAAAGTTCAAAATTCATTATTAGTTCTGAGGAAAACAGATGCTCTTTATTGGAAATAACTTCTTAGATATTTCTGTAGTATATATATTTATTATGTGGTTGATCCAACACCTGCCAATACCATCTTCAGAAGCTCCACAGTGAAGAGAATAGATACTAACTTGCATATTTCTTATTAAAAATTATTGGTATAATTGATTCTACTGATGATTTGAAAACTAGTGCTTTTTGCTTTTATTGTTCACATAAGGCAATAAGCATCCTTATCACATGTCTCTGCATGTAGCAGTGGCATGGAAGTCAGGAAGAGGCTCCTTTGAGGTGATCTACCTGGAAAGGGGTGTCTACTCAGGCCTGCATTAGAGATGGGGAGTAGGCTGTGTATTATCACCAAGGCTGGTGAGTACAGTTTGTTTAGAGGCATATCTGGATGTCCTTGCAGCTCTACAGAAACCAGGATTAAAGAAAAGTATATACATAGCGATGTACTCATGTGCACAAATGCCCAAGAATCTAGGGAAAAGAAGACTGATGCAAGAAATATTCTGTCTGACTTCATAAATGCATTTAAAGAAAAAAAGACAGAGCCTTTCTGATTCAAAAATATTAATTTTTAATACAATGGATAGTTCAAAGTTCAAATCTAAGTTAACAAGTTTTTATTACACAATTTGGTTTAACATGTACATAAGTACTTATGCAAAAAAAAAAAAAACCTCATAGGCAAAAAACGTAATGGTGATTTTTCTGAAGAAAAGGGGGGTGTGGAAAGTGACAAGAGGATAAAGGATAAATGTTGATGGAAGGACATTTGATTTTGGATGTTGAACACACAATACAATATGCAGATAATGTAATATATAACTACACCCTTGAAACCTATATATAATTTTATTAACTAATGTCATAATAAATTCAATAAAAATTTTTTTTAATATATTATGAACCCAGTATTTTTTAACAGAAAATATTTTTTATTCATGCACATCGATCTGATAAAGACCTGGTGGTTATTTAAGCACTCTCCCTCAACAGGTGTTTTATATTTTTAAAGATTTATTTATGTATTTGTTTGTTTTTAGAGACAGAGGGGAAAGGAGGGGGAGAGGGAGAGAAACACCAATGTGTGAGAGAAACATCAACCTGTTGCTTATTGTGCAACCCCAACCTGGCCTGCAATCCAAGCATGTGCCCTGATTGGAAAACGAACCAGTGACAGTTCCGTTCACAGGCAGGTTCTCAACCCACTGAGCCACACCAGCTGGAGCAGATTCAGTAGGTATTTTAAATAAAAATGGTTACAATTTAGCCAAGACATAGAAGCTATCAATATATGGGAGCTAAATGTAAGAAGCAAGCATATAAGATTCTTAGATAAAGTCACAGGGTTAAATGTTCATGACCTTGGATTTGCCAGTAGATTTTTAGATATAATACCAATTCAAAAAACAGAGAGATGATGACGTAAGAGAAATCGGTCTTCATCAAAATTAGTGGTCTGTGCAATGAAGGACACTACCATATAAGTAAAAAGTCTATCAAAAGGGAGAAAATAATGTAAGTTACAGACCTTATAAGGGTTTACTATCACTAATATTTGAGTAATTCTAACAATGCAAACCAAAAACAAGAAATCCAAATTTAAAAGGTCCAACTCTCCTTTTATACTCAATAGTATTTGCCAGCTATACTCAGATGCTCTTACATTGGGTGCATAAACGTTTACAAGTGTTATATCCTCTTCTGAGGATCCATTTGTAATTATGAAATATCCTCCTTTTCGTAGCCTCTCTTTTAAATTTTCTCTTTTGACATAAGTATGGCTACCACAGCATTTTAAAATTTCCATTCAAATGAAATACCTTTTTTTCCCAATAGCATAGACTTTTCTTTATTGCAATTCCAAATTTCCAAGAGAAAGTAATCAATCATCAATTAAGTGGTTCACATTTAAAAAACAAACAAAAAGTATGTTTCCCTAAGTTACCTATCAGACCTGCTCTGACCTGCCCGAGGACCTGCCAAAACAAGTTTCTGGGTATCTAAAAACTCTACACATTGACTCCATTAAAATTTACCTCTACCACATAGGTCAGCTCACTATTAGCACAGTTATTTTCATACCTATTATGTGTATACAGTCCATTATGAGATGTCTCACTAGAACAGAATTCTCTGCAGAGCAGGTTCTTCTGAGGCCCAAAGGTAGAGCTGAATAACTTTTTACCTTTTGACTTTCACTTTGTATCTTTTCATCTAAAGTGGGTCTCTTGTAGACAGCATATTCATGGCTCTTGTTCTGCTATCCATTACCCCATTTTTAAAAAGATTTATTTATTTTTAGAGACAGGAAAAGGAGAAAGAGAGGGAAACATCAGTGGGTTGCCTCTCATATGTGCCCCATCTGCTGACTGAATCTGCAACCCAGTTATGTGCCCTAACCAAGAATTGAACTGCAGACCTTTCACTTTCCAAGACAATGCCCAACAAACTGAGAGCTGCACTGGTCAGGGCTACCTTCTCTTTTTCATTTGATCATTTAATACATTTATATTTAAGTGATTACTGGTAAGTATATAGTTATGGCAGTTTTTAAATTCAGCAATACAGTCATAGTAGGGGACTTTAACTTTCCATTGACATCCATAAATGGATCTAACAGATAGAAAATCAGCAGCAACAAAAAAAGTGGTCTTAAATGACACATAAGAGGAGATGGATGTGGCACATTTAGAGAATTTTACCCCAAAGCAAAAGAATATGTATTCTGAAGATAATTAAGAGAGAATTAACTCTCAACCTAGGGCAAAGTGTTTTTTTAAAATGACCAGAATAAACCTAAGAAAATTAATGCAGGTAATATTTGCACTCATACACCTCTTCAACCTTCTTCACTGGTATACCTGAAAGTGGAAGAACTCTCATACAGCTGAGATTTTATTCCTATGGATGTTCTCTGCACTGGACTTTTATCTTGTAACAAAACTAAAACCATAAAGCCAGGTAGTGAGTCCTAGATACAAAACATCAGTAGATGCATATAAATAATGCTGCATATATTGTGTCTGTAACTATGTCAGGAAGTAAAGCAGAACAGTGTTCAATATCTAGTTTCTATAGTGTGTGCACTGATTTTCTGGGCAGGTCCATGCCTAGGTACTAATATTTAGCAGCTTCTACTGATCCAGCACAGGACACTGAAAAAGCCAATGGACTTTGGGGCTTCCACATTAAATTTTCCCCACCTGAAATTCCTGGAAATGGTGCTGATGGCTTGAAATACGCTCAAGATACCAGTGGGCCAATGGGTAAACTCCTAGCTATGCAAAAAAACAGAAAAGAAGTTTGTATCCAAAATAATAAAGAAAATGTTTTCACCCCAAAGTCTGCTATGGTTTCTGGGATTTCTCCAGAAAGAATGATGAAGAGTTGGCTACATTTATGATTGAGAATAAAATGTTTTCAACTTACCCTCTTTTTATTTCAGTAAAGAAGGTAATGATGTAACACTGAGAACTTCTCAAGGACTCTAATGAAAATCGGTACCAGAAGAGTCATTCTAATTTTCTTTCTTTTTGAAATCAATTTTATTTATTTATTTCTACAGAGAGGGAGGAACAGAGGGAGAAAGAGGAGAGAAACATCAATGTGTGAGAGAAACGTGGATCGGTTGCCTCTCACATGCCCAGCTGCCACACTGGTACATGTTGTGACCAGGAATTGAATGGGAGACCTTTCGGTTTTTGGGTCTACACCCAACCCACTGAGCCATTCCAGTCAAGGCAGATCATTCTAATTTCCAAACACAGAAATGCCATTAGTTATTTTCCAAAAACCCATATTCACATTTGAAATCATAGGGCTCACCATGAGTTGTAATATTCATTTTTTTCAAAAGATACAATAAAAATATTCACCAAATTCTGATGTGTCATTGTAATAGAAAATTTCCAAACTACTGATCAGAACCAAAAGGGCTTCCTTGGCTGATGTGGGAGGGGGAGAGCAGTGAGATGCTGTCACCCTAGCACTTCAAACAAGAATGGCTATGAGGTCTCTGTAGCTGAGTTCAAGAGTTCACAGATTTTTAAGGAGCCAACAATCAACCCCATGATTTCACATATACACTGGGAATAAAGACATAGCAGCATCAACAGACAAGAGATTGGAATCACAGTAATGTTTCTTTCTCAAAATACTTTAAATACTGTCATTATGCAATAGTATATATTCTGAGTAAGTACACATAATCCAGACATCCATCCCCTTGCCATTTTGAAGCACAGTATAAAGTAATGATCTGAATTCTGTAATGATCTAAATATTTTTAAATTCTGGATGATTCTCTATAGTAAGTATTCTGATTTATAGCAATACATGAAAACTATTTTTAACATTCTACTGTGAATTCTCTGATATTTTGAAATTTTGTTTAAATTACATACATTCCTAATACTTTCACAGATTTCTTACATTATTAAGACTTCTCTTCAATATAAATTCTCTAACCTTGAAGGAGGCTTGAACAATGGTTAAAGTTTTGTTAAATTCTTCACATTTTTTGTTTCCCTCAAGCTTGAAGTCTCCAATGTTGAGTTAGTTTTGAACACAGGGTAAAAAGCTCTGCTACATTCTTTACATTTGAACAGTCTTCCTCCAGAATGAATTCTCTCATGTTGGCTAAGACACTACTAATGATTAAAAGATTTGGCACTTACATTTATATGGTGACTCTCCAGTACAAATGACCTGATGTAGGCATAAGTTTTGAGGAGTGAATAAAGGCTTTGCTAAGTGATCCACAATTACATGTCTTATCTCAAGTATGATTAGCCTGATTATAAGGGCTGAGGACCACCTAAAGGCTTAGCCATATTTCCCTACATTTACATGGCTTTTCACCCATTAGGAATTCTATTGAGAAAAATTTGAGGAATCCAAAGGATCTGCCACATCCTCTAATGAGGCTTCTGTCCAGTATGAATTCCCTGATGATGAGTAAGTGATGAGGACCAGCGAAAGGCTTTACCACATTCTGTACATTTATAAGGCTTCTCTCCAGTATGAATTACCTGATGTTTTGTAAGGGATGAGGACCGACAATAGGCTTTACCACATTCTCTACATTCATAAGGCTTTTCTCCAGTGTGAATTTTCTGATGTGCAGTACGAGTTGAGGACTGGTGAAATGCTTTACCACATTCTCTGCATTTATAAGGCTTCTGTCCAGTATGAATATTTTGATGTTGACTAAGCTTTGAGAATTGGCGGAAGGCTTTACCACATTGTCTACACTCATAAGGCTTTTCACCAGTATGAATTTTCTGATGTGCAGTACGAGTTGAGGACTGGTGAAATGCTTTACCACATTCTCTACATTTATAAGGCTTCTGTCCAGTATGAATATTTTGATGTTGTCTAAGCCTTGAGAAGTGATGGAAGGCTCTACCACATTCTCTACACTTATAACGCTTCTGTCCAGTATGAATATTTTGATGTTGTGTAAGCCTTGAGAAATGGCGGAAGGCTTTACCACATTCTCTACACTTATAAGACGTCTCTGCAGTATGAATTTTTTGATGTTGTCTAAGGCCTGAGGACCAGCAAAAGGCTTTCCCACATTCTCTACATTTATAACGCTTTGCTCCAGTATGAATTGTCTCATGTTGAGTTAGGATTGATAACTGAAGAAATGCTTTCCCACATTCTCTACATTTATATGGCTTCTCTCCAGTATGGATTTTCTGATGTTTTCTAAAGGATGAGGACCAGGAAAAGACTTTACCACATTCTCTACATTTATAAAGCTTCTCTCCTGTATGGATTTTTTGATGGTGTATTAGAGATGAGGACCATCGGAAGGCTTCACCACATTCTCTACATTTATAAGGCTTCTCTCCAGTATGAATGGTCTGATGTTTTCTATAGGTTGTGGACCAGCGAAAGGTTTTACCACATATTCTACATTCATAAGGCTTCTCTCCAGTATGAATTTTCTGATGCTGAGTAAGGTATGATGATCGACTAAAGGCTTTACCACATTCTCTACATTTATAGGGCTTTTCACCAGTATGAATTCTCTGATGCTGAGTACGGGCTGATGACTCCCTAAAGGCTTTGCCACATTCTCTGCATTTATAAGGCTTCTCTCCAGTATGAATTCTCTGGTGAATAGTACGGATTGAGAATGACATAAAGGCTTTGCCACATTCTCTGCATTTATAAGGCTTTTCTCCAGTATGAATTCTCTGGTGAATAGTAAGGGTTGAGAACGACATAAAGGATTTGCCACATTCTCTACATATGTGAGGCTTGTGTCCAGTATGTATTTTCTGATCTAGAGTTAGACCTGAAGGTTGATTATGTATTTTATCACATTCTTTCCACGTATGTTTTTCTTCAGTACAGATTTTCTTAGCTCCATTTAGATTAACTATTTTACTGAAGACTTCCCCACATGGTAAACATTTGTAATCTTCTCCCCCAACAGGAATATGTTTTTGTTCAGTACTATTAGAAGGTTCCTTAAGTAATTTGATACATTTACTTTGTTTGTTTGTCTTCTCCACAATAGGAATAACCTGATGTGTATTGTGATTTGACATTTGGTCAAAAACTTTTCCACCTTTATAATGGTTCACTGGAAGATGAGTATTCTGATATTTATTATCATTTGATTTGTGGTTAAACATTTTCCCATTTTCATTGCATTCATAACTTCTATCTTCATTACACGTACTCTGGTAATCATTGAAAATAGAAAGTTCTTTAATGACACCTGTAATTTCATTATACATGTATACTTATTCCCAAATACCGAATCTGAGACTCTTATTAAAATATGGAGGCTGAATCACAAACCACTCCCAAGTTCATGAAAATTTTATATATTGGAATAAAAGAAAACATTCCTTCTCAATGAAATATAATAATTCCTTTAAAAAGGGATTGCCTATTGATCACATTTAAATTTTACTTGTGCATTAGAATTCACTAAAGTTTACAAATTATTGACTGAAAGTTTAATACCACTCTTCATTTTAGGCAATTCAAATGATTATTCACACCATAAATTATGATAGTTCTAGATTTTTCAGACTGCCTTTAGAAGAATACATACACTTAGAAAACTGTTTTCCAGCTTCACAATTGGAAACACTTTGATCTGCAAATGTAACTCAGTTAAAGTGGGAGATTCCCCAAATGTGTACTGTTTTTCACCTCTTTAGGTAACAAGGATTTCATTAAAAATAATTATGCCAGGTAAGATCTGTTCATTTTAACATCCTTTTCTCTTGTCACACACTTTCTTATGAGTCTTTCATTATATTATCAAAGGTACACCTTTCATATCTTACCAATATTATTTTAGAGACTAAATCTTCTATTCCTGGCTTTTGCAATAAGGCCTGGTTGTCTTCAGATGTCAAAGCTGAAAGATACAAAATAAAGGTTCACAATTAGGAGACTCAGGCCAATATAATATACGTTGCTGCTAAGCAATTACTAAACATATTGCTACATTTCTTTTAAAAAATTGATTTATTTACTTAATTATTTTTAGAAAGAGGGGAAGGCATGGAGAAAAAAGGAGAGAAGCATCAATATGTAGCTGCCTCTCACACACCCCCAACTGTGGACCTGGCCCCAAACCCACGCATGTGCCCTGACTGGGAATCAAACCAGCTACCCTTTGGTTCACAGGCCAGCACTCAATGACCACCCAAAGCTATATTATTACATTTTTGAGTACTTCAAAAATGTCATACGTTCAAAGCAAGACCAAGAATGGTACAATAAGGTCAATCAAAAGGAACAGTTGCCTACATTTGGCAATCATAATGATCAAATCCAATTTCACACAATGGCAATATTATAAGGAAACTCCCAACTCCCACTTTCTACTCTAAAGAGATGGAGGGTACAGTGTGTTCAAAGATTTTGCCATTTAACAGTGTATTTGAAATATGTTTTTCTGTTTCATGTGAAACAGAGTGCTAAAACCATGTCAATAAGTGGTGCATGCACTATACCACATACTGATGAGTTGAATAATTCATCAAACACCACAGAAACGGCACGTCAGACTGCTTTCAAGCATACAAAAAATACATAGAAAAGATTTAGAGATGTGTTTTATTTTTTCATTATAACACCAAAAACAAGTAAACAAAGTAAATATAGACAAATGAGATCACACCAAACATAAAAACTTGTGCACTTTTTAAAGGAAATACTCAGGGGGTCAAAATCACAACCTGTGGAATACAGTAAATTTACACAAAGCTTGTATTTTATAAGTCTTCCATATTCAGAGTATATAAAGAAGTTTTACAGAACAATATGATAAAACAACTAACACAATTTTTAAAACAGCTAAAGATATAAGGTTAATTAATATAAAAAAGACAGGAATACAGAATGGGGTGAGACAGATTCTTCAGTAAATGGTGCGAGAATAACTAAACCACAACAAAAAATAATATACTTCAACCACTTTCTTATGGCATGTAGCAAAACAAACTCAAAATGCATTAAAAACTAAAATGTAAGATCTAAATCCATGAAAAAAAGAAAGAATAGTCATAAACTCTGCCATTGCTCTTAGAAACTCTTTTTTATATATCTTAGTAGGCATAGCAAACAAGAAAAAAAAGTTAAACAAGTGAGACTACAACAAAATAAGTTTTTGCATAGCAAAGTAAACCATCAAGAAAACAAAAAACAACCCAATCTACTGAACACGGGAAGATATCCACCAATGATGCCAAATATGCAAAATATAAAAGGAACTTACACAACTTAACACCGAAAAACAAACATTCTGATGAAAGAATGAGCAGAAGACCTCAACAGATATTTCTCTAAACAGGACATAAAGATGGCCAATAGACTTATGAAAGATGTTCAACATCATTCATTAGCACAGATATGCAAATTGAAACCACAGTGAAATAGCAGCACATATGTATCAGGATGGCAATTATCAATAAATTAACAGGCCTGGCTGGTGTGGTACAGTGGACTGAAAGCCTGCCTGCAAACCAAAAGGTCACAGGATCGATTTCCAGTCAGGGCACATGCCTGTGTTACAGGCCTGGTCTCCAGTTGGAGGCGTATTAGGGGCCTCCAATGGATGTATCTCTCACACATCAAGTTTTTCTTCCTCTCTTTCTCCTTCCCTTCCTCTGTCTCTAAGAATAAATATATGCAATCTTTAAAACCAAATTAACAAGAATTGGTAATGATGTAGAAAAATGAGAACCCCCATGTACGGTCAATGAGATTATAAACAAACTGGTGCAGCACTACAGAAAACAAAATGGAGGTTCCTCAAAATTATACCAACAAGTACCATATAACACAGCAATCCCATTTCTGGGGATTTATCTAAAGCATATGAGAAGACATATTCAAAATGTAGTATACACCACTATATCCACTGGAACATTATATATGAAAAAAAGAACAATTGGCATAATGGTACTGAAACTCTACAATAAATAGATTTAATTTTAGTTGACATATGATATCGAAAAAATTATATCTCAATATAAGCTTAATATAAGCTTCTCCTTAAAACTATGACTCATTATGTGCTTATTTAAATTTTGTTTTAAAAACTACAAATATAATATCCATGTTATTGAATATAAAGCAAACTTAATTTTATGCACTTCACACTTTCTCAAGGCAAATTCTTTACTAACTTTGTTTTTTAACCCAAAGTGTTACGATTTAAATTTTCATGTCTCAATCATTAGGGAAAAATACAAACAACAAACAAAAAGTGATCCTCATCATGAGAAAAAACAGAAGGCACAAGATGGGGAAAACTATTTGTAAAAGACAGTATGTACATATTATTGTACAAGACATAGAAAGAAGTTTTCAAACTCAACAGTGACAAAAAAACGAATGACTAAAAAGGGACAAAGAGCTTAACAGAAAGCACACTAAAAATAAATACATAGATTAAAAATTAGTATCTGCAAGGAAACTCTACACCTTCTATCACTGAGGAAATGCACATCAAAACAAGAAAGTTATACAAACAGCACATTCAAGCAACACTAAACCCCTACTAGGAAGGGAATCCAGAACACTGACAACAGTAAATGCTGCTATGGATATGGCACAACCCTAACTCTCTTTCATTGCTGGTGAAAATGTAAAATAGCACTGCCCCTTGGGAAGAGAGCTTGAGGATTCTCACAAAATTAAAAATAAAGGAGTGGACAGGGTAGAGAGGGGCAAAGGGGAAAAATTGGGCCAACAGTAAAATATACAATAAAATATATTTTTTTAAATCCTTAACAGCCCTAGCTGGTATGACTCAGTGGATTAACCACAATGCTATGAAACAAAAAGTTGCCAGGCCAACCCATGGCTGGTGTAGCTCAATGGATTGAGTGCCAGTCTGTGAACCAAAGGGTCACTGGTTGGATTCCGAGTCAGGGCACACACCTGGGGTGCAGGCTAGGTCCCCAGTAGAGGGCATGTGAGAGGCAACCACATATTGATGTTTCTCTCCCTCTCTTTCTCCTTCCTTTCCCCTCTCTCTAAAAATAAATAAAAGCTTTAAAAAATAAACAAAAATTGGTTGCAAATTAGATGAAAAAATGAAGGCTATGCTAAGTGAAATGAAGGAAAATGCACAGGGAACCAATAGAGATAGGAAGAAAACTGGGACTCAAATCAATAGAGTGGAACAGAAGGAAGAAAGAAACAACCAAACAGAAAGAATGAAGAAATAAGAATTCAAAAAAAATGAGAAGCTTAGGAACCTCCAGGACATCTTGAAACATTCCAATATCCAAATTACAAGGGTACCAAAAGGGGAAGAGGAAGAGCAACAAGTGGAAAGGTTATTTGAACAAATAGTAAAGGAGAACTTCCCCAATCTGGCAAAGGAAATAGACTTCCAGGAAGTCCAGGAAGCTCAGAGAGTCCCAAAGAAGTTGGACCCAAGGAGGAATACACCAAGGCACATCATAATTACATTACCCAAGATAAAAAATGAAAGAGAGAATCCTAAAAGCAGCAAGAGATAAGGAGACAGTAACCTACAAAGAAGTTTCCATCAGACTGTCAGCTGATTTATCAAAAGAGACCTTGCAGGCAAGAAGGGGCTGGAAAGAAGTATTTCAAGTCATGAAAGGCAAGGACCTATACCCAACATTGTTCTATCCAGCAAAGCTTTCATTTAGAATGGAAGGGCAGATGAAGTGCTTCCCAGATAAGGTCAAGTTAAAGGAGTTCATCATCAACAAGCCCTTATTTTATGAAGTGGTAAAGGGACTTACCTAAGAAAAAGAAGATAAAAAACATGTATATAAAAATGACAACTAACTCACAATTATTAACAACCACACCTAAAACAAAAACAAAAGCCAACTAAGCAAACAACTAGAACACGAACAGAACCACAGAAATGGAGATCACATGCAGGGTTAGCAACAGGGAAGTGGGAGGAGGAGAGAGGGAAAAAAGGTAAAGAGAATAAGTAGCATAGATGGTAGGTAGAAAATAGACAGGGGGAGGGCAAGAATAGTATGAGAAATGTAGAAGCTAAAGAACTTATGACACATGGACATGACCCAAAGTGTGGGAATGTGGGTGGGAGAGGGTGTGCAGGGTGGAGGGGAATAAAGGGGGGGAAATGGGACAACTGTAAAAGGATAATTAATAAAATATATTTTAAAAATAAAATAAATAAAAATATACACCAATTATGTTGGAAAGAAAAAGTTGCCAGTTCAACTCTCAGTCAGGGCACATGCCAAGGTTGCAGGCCAGGCCCCTGCTCGAGGCATGCAAGAGGCAACCCATCAATGTTTGTCTCTCAATTTGATGTTTCTCTACTTCTCTTTTCCCTCCCTTCTACCCTCTCTAAAAATAAATAAATAAAATCTTGAAAAAAATCCTACACATACAGTGAAACATTATTCAGCCCTATAAAGAAATAATATATCAAGCCATCAAAAGAAATGAAAGAAACCTAAATACATAGAATTAAGAGGAAAAAATGCAATCTGCCTGATGAGGTGCTCAGTTGGTTAGAGCATCATCCAGATACACCAAGGTTGTGTATCCATCCCTAATCAGGGAATATACAAGATTGTACAAATGAATGCATAAATAAGTGGAACAACAACTTGATGTTTCTCTCTCCTTTTGTCTCTCAAAAAAAATCAATAAATGAAATTAAAAATACAAAAGTCTAATTTGAAAATATTACAGATTATAAAAGAACAACTATATGACATTCTAGAAAAAACAAAATAAGAGGAACAATAAAAAGATCAATGGCTACAAGAGTTTAGGAGACATAGAGATAAATAGAGCAGAGAGAATATTTAGGGCTGAGACACAAATGTCTATGACTTACAATGGTGGATATATGCCTCATATATTTTCTAAACCCACAGAATGTACAACCCAGCAGTGAATCCCACAGGAAACTAAAACTTTAGTTAACGATGATTTGCATATGTAGGTTTGTATATATCACAAATGTACCACTATGTTGGGGGACATTGGTGAGGGAGGAGGGTATGCATGTAGAAGCAGAGAGAGTGCAAGAATACTAATTTATTTCTGAATAATTTTGCAGTGAACCTAAAACTGCTCTTTAAAAAAGTCATTTAGCCCTGGCTGGTGAAGCTCAGTGGACTGAGTACAGGCTGCAAACCCAAGGGTCACTGGCTTGATTCCCAGTCAGGGCACATGCTTTGGTTGCAGGTCAAGTCCCCAGTGGGGGTTATGTGAGAGGCAACCACACACTGATATTTCTCTCCCTCTCTTTCTCCCTCCCTTCCCCTCTCTCTAAAAATAAATAAATAAAATCTTTTAAATAAATACACAAATAAAAATTAAAAAGTCATTCACAGACCTTCTTCTCTGAAGTACCTGTACTTAGGTTTATGCATCTTTCCTACAGTTCTTTATGCCCATCCAAGAAAGAAAAGTTTGCATCCGCCACTGAAACACATACAGACTATATCTCTTCACAGCAATAAAAATGACCATATTAAAAGAAACAAACACTACCAAGTGTTTCCAAAAATGTGAAAAAACTAGACACTAGACATGGTTGAATAAAAGATAAATTGATACAAACATTATGAAAAACAAGAAAGGGTTTGCCAAAAATTAAAATACAATTGTTTTGTCATTCAGCTCTTCTACTCAAGGAATTTATCAAAAAGTATTCAGCCCTGGCTGGTGTAGCTCAGTGGATTGAGCGCGGGCTGGGAACCAAAGTGTCCCAGGTTCGATTCCTAGTCAGGGTACATTCCTGGGTTGCAGGCTATAACCCCCAGCAACCGCACATTGATGTTTCTCTCTCTCTCTCCCTCTCTCTCTCTCTCTCTCTCCCTCCCTCCCTTCCCTCCCTAAAAATAAATAAATAAAATCTTAAAAAAAAAAAGTATTGAAACGTGGATTTGTAAGAGACATGTACACATCTGTGTCCATTGTAGTATTACTCACAAAAGCCTATATAGGGGGACACAACCCCATGTTTATGCATAAATAAATAGATCAAAAAATTTACTATATACATAAAGTACTGCTCTGCCAAGAAACAGAAAAAGACGTTACACCCAATACCATAAAGACAAACACTGAGGACTTTTTTAAGTGACGCACACAAGTCACAAAAGACAGACACTACAGGATTCCACTTAAGTGAATGTCTTAGAAGTCAACATCATAGAAAAGAAAAAGGTAGTCACCTGGGCACTGGTTTTCAGGCAAATGAGGAAGTGGATGTTTAATGGACACTGAGACTTGTCTGCAAGATGGAAATTTCCAATGGTCACATGCACAACAAACAAAATATACTTAATACAACTGGACTATAGAGTTACACATGGTTAAGATGGTAGATTTTTTTTCCTCATATAGGATTTTTAAAATACTTCATGTATTTGTATGTTTAGAGGGAGGGTAAGAGAGTGAGAAAGAGAGGGAGAGAAACATCAGTGTGTGAGAGAAACAAATACTGGCTGCCTTTCTTGTACATGCTCTAACTAAGCACAGAATCTGAAATCCAGGCATGTACATGCCCTGACTAGGAACAGAACCAGGAATATTTGAGTTTGCAGGATGATGCCCAACCAACTGAGCCATATAGGTCAGGATGGTTTTTATCAAAATATACAATAAAATATAATATCTAAAAGAGAGAGTTATAAAACTTTATAAAAATTATATCAAATGAGAAAAGTTTTTTCCCCCCTCACATAAACAGAAGACAAATTCAGCTATGAAGAGATGTAAGTAAGACTATTTCCAAAACTCACAGGATCAATCAACCATTGACCATTAACAGCATTCAGAAAGAAACAAGGTTCAACCATGAGCTGCAGGGTAAAAAACACACAAACATGCACATAATGTTAATGGCAACTGACATGTGGCTAATTTCATATGTAAATTAAGTCCCTCGATGTTAAGTGTACTGATTGGAGAACTGTCATTCACATTCGTAACATATAAATGAAAACCAAAAATGCCATCAACTAAATTAGGAGAACTAATCATAAAAGAGGAAACATGCTGGAACACCAGTGGGAGGTGTGGCTGAGTGAGACTGAGGGGTGCTAAAGTCCAGGTCATTCTCTTAAAGGACATGCACACAGACTTACTGGGACGCCCTCGCTCTGAACACCGGCTTTAGGACAGATGCTTGAAAGGCATAACAGGAGAAACTGAATTGTCTGGCCTCAGGGCAAAGACAGGAGGAGCAGCTTTCTTCCACACAGCAGCCCCAGCAGAGACAATTATTCCCTTGCTGAGCCCTTCCCACCATAGAGCTACCAACCAATGCCATATCTGACTCTCCATCTACCTGGCTAACACTGTAGCCCTGTCCTAGTGACTCCATAAAACCTTGCACCAGTCACATTGACATCCTACCCAAGATATGTCAAGTGGCTTTCCCATACAAATGGCTTCTCTTGCCTCATGCTTCAGGCTCTCCTTAATCTCAGAAACAAACTGCATCTGGCCTCTACCTTCCCCATACCTCTCACTCAGTGGCCACACAGACAGCTCTAGCTGCAGCTGGCTTTGAATCATATCTCGGCCTCCAAATCCAACACAAGTAGGAACCATCTGCACATCACTCTGTAACTGGTGCTGGGTGGAACTGAGCAGTTCCTAGGTGGTGGCTGACCTCACATCTGAAGAGAAGATCCAGAGCCAGTACACCCAGTGAACAGCTTAGGACCATGTCCGATTACAACACTACCACTTCTACATGCGACAAATTCATGAGGCAGACTCAGGGAGCACCAAAGCCCCACTGAACATTTTCCTAAATATAAAGTGCCTAATAATTCTGTAACTCACTTCTTGCCAAATGAGTATATGCGAGCTTGTTCTATCAGCACTTCTTTAAAAAAAAGCAGAAATCTGACCAAGGTCTAATCAGAAAGTGAAAACACAACAAGGCACAGTCTCAGGCAGCAATGGACTGAACAAGAGAGAATGATAAAATGACAGTGTAATGAACAAATCAGGTCAACAGTAAAGACTTTCCTTGAACAACAATAAAAAAATGTGGAAAAAATTAAATTAAAATGTATTAGAAAAAAAAACAAAGGACTTTCCTACATGGTAGTCAATGTTCTAAGGCCACCTATAGCAGTGATTTATTGAAGAACTCTATACAGTAAGGAGATACATTAATCTATTCTAACAGAAATTGGAGAATACAAACTGGAAATTTCATATGTTAGTTCATACAAAGCAAAACAACATTGCGAAGTGAAACAGAAAATCAGATTGTCTCATTTGGGGGAGATGCATTGTGTTGCAATGAACTCATTGAATCTCAAGATTATAGAATCTTCTTTGAAGCCTCCATGGGGTTAGAAACTATAAACCAGAAAACATGACACCTGTCCCCAGGGTTCCTGGGATTTCTGCGACAAATACCAGGATTTCAATCACTTCCTTCCTATACTCCGTTTATGAGACAAAAACAAAACTTAAAAAATAACGCTTAACTTACAATTTTTCAGCAACATGCACAGATTTTCCCAGGTCCCCAAAACAATAGAAAAGGAGCCAGACCATGGTGGCCCTCACAGTCAAAGGGGAGGACTCTGGCCCCAAGTCCTAATAGGATGACATAGGTCACTAGAGTAGAACCAGAATCCCAAGATAATATGGGAGCAAGGGACATGATGGAAAACAGCTGGCCCTCTATGACAGCAACAGAAATAAACCTGGGCTTTTCAAAGTCCAAAGTCCTTTCCATTGAAGCACAACTTCCGAAATCACACCTTAAAGTCTGCCTTCCTCCGTGACATTTGGGCCTCTCACCTGTGTCATCTGCTTCCCTATTCCCACCTACCTGGGTGGGTGGATATTGACTTTTTTCTGCACACATCCCAGAGTTCCTTAATTTCTTCCACAATAGTGAACAGGACTGGCTGAGGGACAACACAACCTGTTTATAAAAGAAACATTAGTTTTGATGGAGATTCTCCCATTTACAATCCAGTTAGTACTCAGGTAAGATTGGTAAAATAATAAACAACTTCAATTTCTCCCTTGAATGCAAGAATCTGAAAGGCTGCCATACAAAGCAAAAGTCCCCAAAAGACCTTAAATTAATAAAGAGAAGGAAACCCTGCAGGTGGAAGGTCTCTGAAAGGAAGTTATCCTTACCCAGGGAGAACAGGTTCCTGTAGTTCTCCAACATCACATCCATGTACAATTTTCGCTGAGCTGGGTCCAGGCATTCCCACTCCTCTTGGGAGAAATCTACTGACACATCCCTAAAGGTAAACAGTCCCTGAAAAATAAAGACACATTTACCAAGGGGCCACCAAGTGTTAATCATGTAACCCAGCTTGAAAAGTGTTAGAAGTGGTTTTAACCTAGAGTATGCTGAATTATCTAGTAAGATCATTTTGACCCAGTGATATTCTCTAATGTATTTTCTAACACAGATAAATGAGACTGACACATGTCTACCAATCCACTGCAGAGACTTTACTTTTCAAAAAAATAACCTTTAAAAATGAAGGGATAGCACCAGCTGGGGTGGCTCAGTGGACTGAGTGCCAGCCTATGAACCAAAAGTTTGCTGGTTCGATTCTTGGCAATGGTACATGACTAGATGGAGGGCCAGGTCCCTGGCTGGGAGCATGTGAAAGGCAACTGATGGATGTTCCTCTCACATATCCATATTTTTCTCCCTCTTTTTTCCTCCCTTCCTTTCTCTCTAAAAAAAGAATAAATGAAATCTTTAAAATGAAGGGATAGATATAGGCATATGGATTGTTGAGTGTGGTGCTTCTATCATTTATGATCAATTGTGTACATTTCTCAGAAGGAAAAGACATGGTGAGTTCAAAGTATAAGTACTTCTTCAGGTTTACCTCACCCAACAAAGAACTGCAGTTTTGTAAAAATGCAGATTCTGATTCAGAAGTTCTGGGATGGGGCCTGTGTTTCCACATCTTTAACAACCTCACTTTTCCCTAGTGAGACCAAAGTCTCTGGTCCACAAGCCATACTTTAGAATAGCTTGTAGAATACTTGTAGAATAGCTTGAGGAAGACATAGAAAATAATTCATACATGACTTTGAGTTGACGGACTTTTATAAAATTTACAGTTCCGAAGGAATAATAAAAATATCAGCCACATATTATTTGAAAATTTAGTGAAGGTAATCTTAGAACAAGATTATTCTTCCTGTAAGAGTATTTTCTGAAACACATAAAACATACATCTTAAGCTTTACTCCAAACTTTATCTAAACATTTTTCAAAAAAAAAAAAATAAACAGGCAAAGACATATAAAGAGACTTCATGGATGTTCACTGCAGTTGCTGTAACTGAGAAGAACAGAAACATTTTAAGAGTAAGAAGACTAAATATAAATATGTCAATTGTTAACATTTACTCACACAGAGACATACATATGGAAACTAGGTAGAAGTAAAAAAGTTACACAAAGCACAATTTTCATGACAATGAAATTAAAATTGTTTTGCAATTCTCTAAAATTGTTTTGAGAATCTTAAAGACTTAAGATTCTCATAAGTCTTTTTGTTTGTTACCTTTAAAAAAAGGAGTAATGCACGTAATGATAAAAACTAAATGAAAGCTAGTGTTTATGAGTCTCTTATTACCTTTAAAATTTTTGTGTATCGTAAGGGGACAGTTGTATTATAGAAATTTTTTCACGATTTTATTTTTTTATTTTTAGAGAGAGGGAAAGGAAAGGAAGATGAGAGGGAGAGACATATCAACATGTGGTTGCCTCTTTTGTGCCCCACACTGGGGACCTGGCCCACAAAGCAGGTATATGCCCCAACTGGGAATGGAACCAGCAACCCTTTGGTTCGCAGCCCATGCTAAATCCTCTGAGCTACACCAGCCAGGGCATATTGTAGAAATTTAACAAAATGCAACATACATTAATATGAGTCTTGTAAACTTTCTTAAAAATACAGAAAGTTATAATGTGCATATCTGTGACATGAGCATGGAATAGAATGAAAATTTACAGGTGAAAGGCCTGATTGATTCAATCCTTCCTATCAAAAGCCAATGATTTCTAGGAAATGAACAAAGGGCCTTCATTTTCCAAAGCAAACAAAAACTGAGAGAGGGTTGTCTCCACATGCAATATGATGGCTTTTCTCAAATCTCTCAGTAATTCCCTGTTAGACCCTTCTTAATGATGAAGGGAAGCTATTAACTATATAGTAAAGAGACCACTAAAGCCAAATTAATATCAGGTGACTGAAGCACACACAAAAACAGATCATCCATGCTGTGACATTACAGAAAAAAAAACAAACAAAACATAAGAAATCATTGCTGTGGCTGGTGTGGCTCAGTGGATTGAACACTAGCCTGCAATCCCAAATGTGGCTGGTTCAATTCCCCTTGAGTGAACAGGGTAGGATTATGGGCCAGATATGGGTGTTCCTCTTCCTTTTTTTCTCCCTCCCTTCACCTCTCTCTAAAATATTTTTTTACAAACCTTGAAAAACATTTAAAAAGTGCTCTGGCTGGTGTGGCTCAGTGGATTGAGTGCCAGCCTGTGAACCAAAGGATCACCAGTTCAATTCCCAGACAGGGCACATGCCTGGCTTATAGACCAGGTCCCCAGTAGGGGGCACATGAGAGGCAACCACACATAGATTGTTTCTCCCCATCTCTTTCTCCCTTCCATCCCCTCTCTAAAAATGAATAAAGTCTTTCCAAAAAAAATTAAAAAGTAAATAAATCACTATGATAGTGTTCATAAATAAACATTAATTTTTGTAAATGTCAATGCACATGTACATCCCATGTATTGAACACAAATATTGTAGTGCATTTAAATAGCAAGACTTTTGCACCAAATTAGTGAGTGTCTTCTATCAAGTCTTCTTTGTCAGAACGTTCTGAGCTATCCTGACCAGTAAAATGACCATTTCTTACAGTTGTCTACAGAGCTGATGCTGCAGCCACATAAACCTAAAACCTACATTTCCCTTCTTCATTAATACCTGAGCATCTGACACCCATCAGAAAAGGCTACTGTATATGAGTGGCTTCCCAGGTGGATCTGTGAGAAAGGGGATGTTTTTAGTACCTGAAAGTCATTAATTAAAAGCAGGAATTCTTCATGGCGTTGGGGAGCCTGGATATACATAAAACATAGAAGGCTCTGGGACAAAGGGAACAAGTGTATAAGTTACCAACCTTGACAATCATAAGGAAAAAAAAATAAGCAGACAAAAACAACCTCGGTAGATAAGAACATCAGAAGTAGAGAAATAAATGTTACAGGTTCTAAATCCACTGATGTTAGGAAGAAAAGCAAACATAGCTTCTGACACAGTACACATCATTTACCTGATAAGCAGCCATGTTGTCCTGCTCCTGCTCCAGGTCGTTTTCTCAGGCAATGATATGCTGGAGTCAGGTCTGCATTTTGAGAATGTGAATTCAAAGGTTTCCACACAGCCCTTTAATCTGCTTCCAGCACACTCACAAGCAGAAGGAAATGAAAATGCTGGAAAGGTCCCCTACCCTTGTACAGGATAGTCAGGAACAGTAAGCTCCTACATGAACTCCATACTAGCAGTTTTTTCTTTCTTCTTTTCAGGTGCTCTTTTCCCCCACAGATGTCCACAAATTCATACAGCAATAAGAACGAGCACTGCTCTCCTCAACTGCAAACCCAGGAGAGCACTCTGTTGCCTCTCCTGAGCAAAGTGTGCTCCCAGTTTTACAAAGGCATGCTGCCATACCTTTCCTTTGCCCTTCAATCTATAACCTTTGTCCTATCTTTCTGCTAAGATCCAAGGGCCCTTCTTTTTTTAAAGATTTATTTCAGAAAGAGAGAGAGAAAGAGAGAGAGAGAGAGACATCCAATGTGTGGTTGCCTCTTGCGCGCCCCCAACTGGGGATCTGGCTCTTGACCCAGAGTGTGCCCTGACTGGGAATCGAATCTGCAACTCTTTGATTCCCAAGCCAGCACTCAACCCACTGAGCCACACCAGCCAGGGCTCTTTTTTTTCCAGATGTTTTTATTTTAACACAATCTTGCTGATAGAGTAAAGAACAGTAAAGAAACTTTTTCCTAAATTACTTGATAACATACTGTCATTATGTCCCTGGCGATTTCAGTATGCATTTCTTTCATTTTTTTTAAGATTTTATTTATTCATTTTTAGAGACAGGGGACAGGAGGGAGAAAGAGAGTGAAAGAAACATCAGTGTGTGGCTGCCTCTCATGCACCCTACTGGGGAACTGGACTGCAACCAGGGCACTCACCCTGACTGGGAATGGAACCAGCAACCCTTTGGTTTCACAGGCTGGCGCTCAATCCACTGGCCACACCAGCCAGAGCCCAAGGGATCTTCTTTTGAGTCTGTCTATTGTTTACACTTCTTCTGAACAGAGTATCTTTAAATAAAATTATTCTTATTAAAAAAACATATGACCCAGGTGAGTGACTCAGTTTTTGTAGCATCACCCCATACACCAAAACTATGCCTTTGATTCCTGGTCAGGGTAAGGGTTCTATACCCCTCAGTGCACAAGTGGAAGGCAGCTTATCCATACTTCTCTTTCACATCGATGTTTCTCTCACTCTCTTTTCCTCTGTCTCTATAATCAACAACCATATCCATGAATGAGGATTTTTTAAAAATACTTTATTTATTTATTTATTTTAGAAAGAGGGGGAAAGGAAGGAGAGAGAGAGAGAAATATCAATGTGTGGTTGCCTCCTGCATGCCCCAACAGGGAACTTAGCCTGGAACCCAGGCATGTGCCCCCACTGGGAATCAATCTGGCGACTCTTTGGTTGGCACACTGGCACTCAATCCACTGACCTACACCAGACAGGGCTGAATGAGGATTCTTTTAAAATGTACCCCAAAGCACTCCTGCAAATTCTTGGGATCACCTTAGCATGACCTGGAGCACCTCAATAAACAATGATGTTCCACCCAGAGCAATTGTCCAACTCTATCGAGGATGACACAACTGATGTAATTTCTCAGACTTCTCAGGTATTGTAACAGTAACCTGAAGGGAAACACTTTAGCTTAAATATGCATGCAGACCCCTAAGGAATAAGGGCCCCACTCTTAGTTATTATTCTGTAGATCTGCAGTGACGCTGATGAAATATCCTATTTATCTACTTCCCTCCTGGTGCCCGCATTGCTCCCCAAGAGCTGTTTTCTGTAGTGCTGGTCCAGAGATAACAGACCTAGCACATCTCAGACCTCTGGGTACTGTTAGCACTTGGGGCAGAAACTTCTAAAATAACAGGCTCCCAAGGAAAATTTTTTTATTTTGTAGGAGATTACAAAGACTTATTTTAGAATATAAAATGATAAATGCAAGATATGATGCTGAAAACTTTAAAAAAATATTTGATTGAAAATATGTTCATCAACACAACAAATAGATGGGTTTTCCGGAAACAATGTTTCAGATCAATCCAGCCCATCTTTCAGTATTTTCAGAAAATGGACAAGAAGAACTTGAGAGAACAGCTCCTTTGTGGCTCATAGTCACTAATTCAATGAATAACATAAAGGGAAGGAAAAAGCTGCTGAGTATCAGTCGAAAGTTGAAGCTACACTCTGACTATAGTAAGATTAGAGGCATCTTTAACAAGTACACAATGAAGCAGCCTGATATGATAAAGAGTAGAAAGGATGCAGGGCTCAGAATTTAAATTATACACAGTATGTTCAAAAGGAAAACTATCTGGAATTATTTTAATTTATTTACATTTGTAGAGAGGGGAAGGGAGGGAGAGAGGAAGAGAAACATAAATGTGCAAGAGATTCAGTTGCCTCTCACAAGCCCCCAAGAAGCAACCTGGCCACTACCCCAACCTGGCCAGCTACCCAGGCAATAGAACTGGGAACAGAAACAGCGACTTTTCAGTTAACGGGCCAGCACTCAATCCACTAAGCCACACTAGCCAAAGCTAGAAGTATTTTTTAATGTAATGACTTCTAAGATCAAAGTTTTGCTCTGACTGGCATGGCTCAGTGGATTTAGCATCCTCCTGCAAAGTGAAAGGTCACTGGTTCAATTTCTGGTCATGGCTTGTGCCTGGGTTGCATCTGGATCCCCACCTGAGGGCTTGCAAAGGAAAATGATTGACGTTGCTCTCAGACATCAATGTTTCTCTGTCTCCTTCTCCCTCCATTGAAAAGAAAAATAAATAAAATCTTAAATAAAAAGAGATCAACAATGCTTACTTTAAAAGTTAATGACATTTACAGAAGAGATATTCAACAAACTAATGTTTCTCTCTATATGTTTTTGAAAAATAAATTCAGCCTTGGCTGGTGTTGTTACAGGGTGCAGCCAAGAGTGGGGTCTCCCCCTTCCCACAGCTTTGTGGAGAGAACCACGTGGCTTTGGCAGAGTGGAAACTCCCCCTTCCCACAGCTTTGTTGGGGGGGAGAAGCACAAGGTTTTGGCTGAGTGGGGACTCCCATGGCCCTGGGAGAGAGGACCACGTGCCTTTGCCAGAGTGGGGACCCCCGCAGTTTTAGAAGGGGGAACCACCACCTGGTTTTAGCAGAGATCCCGGCGACTCAGCTGAGGGTGCCAGGAACCCAGGGAGGTCTCCCAGTCGAGATGGAGTACTAACTGGGAATAACCAGAGGGCTGCCTGAGCCATGGACTTCTATTTCCTTTCCTGAGATACAGTACTCTGGACTGGTCAAAGAGGGAAGGAAGGAAGGACTGTGTCTGTTTGTGGGTGTTTTAAGGGACTTTAGGATTTTTGATAAAGACATTAGGTCACTACTTTAAGTTTGTATAGCATTAAATAAACATTTCCTTTCCTTTTCACAAATCTCTGGCATTGAGAGATGTCTTTCCTCTGGCGGCAGACATAACGGACCTGGGAGCTTTTTTTTCCAATAATAGTATATCGTCCCAGGCCCCCCCCTTGTTTGTTCTGTAACAGTGTGGCTCAGTGGATTGAGCATTGGCCTGTAAAAAAAACTATCAGGTCGCTGGTTCCATTCCCACCCAGGGCACGTGCCTGGGTTGCAGGCCAGGTCCCCAGTTGGGGGCAAGTGAGAGGCAACCATGCACTGATGTTTCTCTCCCTTTCACCCTCCTTTCCCCTCTCTCTAAAAATAAATAAATAATCCTTTAAAAAGATTAATTAATTAATTAATTAATTAAGCTCTGGCTGGTGTGGCTCAGTAGACTGAGTGCCTGCCTGGGAACCAAAAGGTCAAAGGCTGAATTCCCAGTCAGGACACGGGCCTGCGTTGCAAGCCAGATCCCCTGTTGGGGGAATGCCAGAGGCAACCTATGGATGTTTCTCTACCACACTGATATTTCTCTCTCTCTTTCCTCCTCCTTCCCCTCTCTCTAAAAGTAAATAAAAATAGATTCAATGTAAGAGTTGAAAGGAAAAACCCAAATACAATGGAGACAGAGAGAGAGAGAAAAAGAACCAATGGTTTTAACACTCCTGGAAAAAGCATCATGTGGTAACAGACTCAGTTACTTCACGTCCCAGGTTATCTCCCTGTTGCCATTCCAGAACAGGAAAAGGGAGCCATGACTGGCAGACAACTCTCGGACCTCCGAGTGAATAAGGGCTGCACATGCAAGCAATTCAGTATAAACTTCACAATTCTTATAAATTGGAGATTTGTAATTCTAAGTCAAATGTACTTAAAGGAAACAATTCAGGAAACGTTAAATATTAACAGATTATAAAACCATAAGCTGACGTCTCACAATTTAATCATCCACATCCAGGTTCACTTTGGTCCTGCTACGCTGTATTTCTGTGCCTGGATCTGCTTCTGTCTCTTCCCTCCTTCTCTGCACTTTCGTCCTTTCCTGTGTTCCCTTCCCCCTGCTTTTCCGCTTCTTTTCTCTATTTCTGTCCCTACACCTGTTCTGTGAAACAAGTGAAACCTACTTCATCTTGCTCTTTCTCCCAGATCTTTCTGATTGTTCCCATCTCCACATTCATCTCCGTCACCCCACCCCCGCCATGCCTGTGCCCCTCTCCGGCCCTTGTCTTCCCTGTCACCCCCACAGCTGGCTGACTTCAGTGCTGTTTCTCCCTCTGATCGGTCTCCCCAAACCCTCTTTCGGTCCCTGCTCTCTCCCAGTCGACTCTTCTCTTCAGAACCACTCCCTCCGCCTGAAGCGTCTACCCCTTTACTGTCCCCATGTCGGCTCAAAGGCCCCTCTCCCAGTCAGCTCCCCTAGTCTCTGGGGCTAGTCCGTCTCCTCGGCATTTCTACCCTGTCTTCCTCCTCCGGCTAC